TCAGCCCAACACTAACAGACCCTATACTAGCAATTATGATGATCAGCAACTTATAGCATGACTGCGATAGTGTGGTGGACAAACTAGTGTTAACTGATCCTGGCTGGGAGGGACACTAACTGACCCTGATACTATCTGACATTGCAAGTGATGCTAATACAGTGATCAGTACTGTCTACAGACACTGTACTAATGTCACTGCCTGGGTGACCAGGGAGATTAAAGGGTCAACTGAGGGTGATCAAAGGGTTAAATGTGCCAAACTAATGTGTGTATGTGTAGATGTGGTGCTTTTATTCACTGGGATCCTGTGTCTATTTGCAAACAAGACACAGGATCGTCCTGTGATTGGCTACAGCCGATCAGCAGGGTCCCAGCCAAAATCATTGGCTGGGGGCCTGCTGACAAACTTGCGCTGTAGCCAATGGTAGCACTGGTCAGCATGAGGTGCGTGCACCCGCACACCCGGAAAAAGGCAGTCACATCACATACATATAGCTGTGCTCAAAAATTTGCATACTCTTGGAGAATTGGTAATATACAAGATGTTTATTTAAAGAAACCACGAGTGAGCAAGCAAAATGCATTTCTTTTATTTCCTATGGGATTCTTATTCAGCTGTAGGTCATTACAGAATGGCACAATCATAAAACAAAACATGGCAACAAGTAAAAAAATAAAGCGCTAATGAAGTGATCAATATACACTGCTCAAAAAAATGAAAGAAACACTTTTTAATCAGAGTATAGCATCAGGTCAATTAAACTCCTGGGATATTGATCTGGTCAGTTAAGTAGCAGAGAGAGTTGTTAATCCATTTCAGCTGCAGTTTTTTCCCTACGCATCTTTTCTGACTCTTTTTCAGTAGTTTTGCATTTGGCTAGGGTCAGTGTCACTACTGGTAGCATGAGGCGATACCTGGGCCCTACAGAGGTTGCACAGGCAGTCCAACTCCTCCAAGATGGCACATCAATACGTGCCATTGCCAGGTTTTCTGTGTCTCCCAGCACAGTCTCAAGAGCATGAAGGAGATTCCAGGAGACAGGCAATTATTCTAGGAGAGCTGGACAGGACCGTAGAAGGTGAAGTGGTGTGTTTCTTCTTTTAATAGAGCAGAGCTGAAGAAAAAACACTGTCAAACCCTCCTAAAGGCGGCAGTATAACCCAAAGGTGAAAAACTTTGTGTTCCTCAATGGGTAAGAAAGAACATGGCACAGAATGCCTAATGTAATGCAAGAATATCTCCTATTAAATGTGAGCCCCTAACCTTAACACACTAATGTGCACAGGCCCTTACATTTAATATTTTCCATCACTTTCTCTCCCAATGGCAAATGTCACTAGGACTAACGGAGATGTCACATTCCTGCAGTGAAATTAATTCTAACCCCTCACTACCCAAAATCAGAAAAATAAAGTTTTGGTTAAAGTTGTACTTTAAATATCAATTTTTAGTGCAGTGAACCTCTGGCTTATGGTCTTCTAATAAGAAGAAAAGAGTTAATGGAAGCAGTTCTTTTCAATCAACCTCTTCAAATACGTCTCCCATTTTGCGTTCCTCAAGAGAAGACACCTAAAACAAAAAGATGCCATTTAAAATATATTTTAACAATCCAATTTCTACACCATCAATTGTTCCTACAAAATGCTTTAACCACAGCAATATAAAATCGCACTCATCCCTACATGTGATTATGCTGGGCCATCTAATACAAATGGCTGCTGCAGTGGACAGATCTGTGGCTCGTATTTAAAGGGTCTTTCCACTAATATAATTAAACAAAAGCAAAATAATTTTATATCTGCTGGAACCTGGACAGTTCTTAGGTTAAGGGTTGAGCTGTTTAGTACATTTAAGAAACAGGCAACAACATATTCAGCCAGGTGTTTACGCTTTCAAAGAGAATCTGTCACTTTGCCCATTCAGAGAGTACAGTGATAGGTTCTCTTGACAGGCCTACTGCCTCCATTGAGTCCCCCACAGCAGTATGTTTTTTTTATTTACTTGTCTTTTTCTGATGTGTACTGGCCAGCACATGACATGCTGGACCCTCTTCCATCTTTTCCTAGTGATGGGCAGACCTGGATGGAGAGAGTGGAGCTAACATGTGATATCTGTGCCACATGCTGCATCAATACACTCAGTGCAGGGTTCAGGGGGCTCATGATGCCCTTCAGTCTTTCAGTTTTACAGATTCATTCAACCCAAAAGACTGAGAACATCCAGTGGTGAAGGAGAGATACTACTGGGGACAGCTCTGTATCAAAGGCGAGTGCAGCCAGAGCTGCTACATTTTTAAATTTGGAGTTCAGCTTTAAAGGTTGACTCCACGTTTGATGAGAAACAAAACATTCCCCTGTAGGTGATCTATGTACATTGCAAGCATTTTAACAAATTTGTTGCAGATTCTGACCTTTTGTTATTCTGAAATAATAGCTGTTTGTTAGTCTGTGTCCATGTGCAGAGCCCTGCAGCTGCATCTGCAGGGCTCTAATGAGAAAACTAGCAAGGTCTACATCAGACGTAATTTCCTAATTGGGGTATCTCACCAAAATAACATTTTTGTTGCATGGGATACCAAAAAACTGATTTGTATCTTAGTGCAGACTTTTGGGAAAATCATTGTTGCAATCACACAAGCAGGAAATTAAATTTTCAGGGGGCGTTATGTATACCATCTGTGTACAGAAAGCCTCCCAGGTAGCCATATTGCATTGTATTTTACAGAAAAATTCAGCGCTGCAGACTGAAAAGGAAAGGTAATTTTTAATAACATTCAATGACAATATGCCTTGAGCCGCAATTGCATATGAGATTTTTTTTTATTATATATATATATATATAAAATTTTTTGCACATTTTTTCTCAAGAAAGTGAAGTTACTCTTTAACCACATGCCGCCCAGCCACTGTATAAATACGGCGGCAGGGCGGCACGGCTGGGCAAAAGCACGTTTTAAAATGTGCGTTTTGTAAACAGGTAGGGGGCGCGCGCACGAGGCGTGCCGCCGCCCTACCTGTCCCGCCGATTACAGCCGTGGATGTCAGTCGCCAGGTCACAGCCGGTCGTTAACGGCTATGTCCCGGCGATCGGCGGCAATCGCTGACAGAGAGCACAGCTGCAGTAGCTGTGCTTTCTGTCAGTTCCCTGACAGCTCCTGACAGGCTCATCGGGACAGAAGAGTTTCTCTATCCCGATCAGCGGTGTTCCCTGCAGTACACACCCCCGCCTAGTAAAACACTCCCCTCACACAGTTAACCCTTTCCCTGAAAAATAAACTTACCCCTTCCTCCCCAGTGCCATTAGTACAGTGTCAGTGGTTTTTTTTTTGCACTGATCACTGTATTGGTGTCACTGGGGATGTCAGTGACCCCAAGTCAGTACCCCCCAATGTCACAATGTCCGCCGCGGTCCCGCCATAAGTCACTGATTGCCGCCATAAGTCGCTGATCGCCGCCATTATTAGTATAAAAAAACCCTAAAAATCCTAGTATCTTTCCCGCCATTTGTAAACGCTATAACTTTCACGTAAACCAATTAATTTACACGTATTGGGTTTTTTTTTTTTTAGCAAAGCCATGTCGCAGAATGCATTTTGTCAGAAATTTATGACTAAATTTGATTTTTTTATTTTTTTTACTGGACGTGCTTTATAGCAAAAAGTATAAAATATTGTTTTTTTTTCCTCAAAATTGTCAGCCTTTTTTTTTATAGCGCAAAAAATAAAAACCGCACAGGCGATCAAATACCACCAAAAGAAAGCTCAATCTGTGGGAAAAAAAGGATGTAAATTTCATTTATGTACCGTATTGCATGACTGCGCAATTGTCCGTTAAACTAGCGCAGCGCTGTATAGCAAAAAGATGTCGTAAATTGCAGTATCTATACCTTAGTTTGTAGACGCTATAACTGTCACACAAAGCAATCAATATACACTTATTGGGATTTTTTTTTTACCAAAAACATGTAGCAGAATACATTTTGACCTAAATTTATTTATAACCAACTTTGAGTTTACTATATATTTTTTATAGCTGAAAGTAAAAAAAATTGTTTTTTTCTTCAAAATATTTGGCCTTTTTTTGTTTATAGCGTGAAAAATAAAAAGCACACAGGTGATCAAAAACCACCGAAAGAAAGCTCTATTTGTGTGAAAAAAAGGACGTAAATTTCGTTTGGGTGCAGCATTGCATGACCCGCGCAATTATCAGTTGAATTAGTGCAGCGCCGAGTAGCAAAAAGAGGCCTGGTCATTAAGGGGGGGTAAATCCTCTGGAGGTCAAGTGGTTCATATTCCCTCTTGCTCAGGCCTAATCACAACATACTGTAAAGGGGGGAGGTGACCCGCTCCCTCATACTTGGAAGTACTGGGTAGGGCTTCAAAAACAGAATGGAGTGGTGAAAGAATGGTAAGGAACATGGCTGCGACCCATAAGAAAAATGGTGTGGCATGAAAAAAGACTAGCTAAAGCCAGTCTTTAAATCTTTTTTTTATTTGGGCTGATCCACCGTGTGGGGTTCTGTTTTTTCTTATTAGAAGGTGCATTGACCTGTCCAGAGAACCTGTCACTGTTCCCTGAATTGGCAAAGTGGTAGACTCTCTTGAAGTAGCTGATAATCAATACAAGAGGAGTGTCGCCTGATTGTGCTGACTGCCTGCTCCACAGCATGCAGAAAGATACATAAAAACCACAATAGGGTTCAGTTAAAGTGAGATATAGCAATGTGTAACTGCAACACTTCACGCTACTATTATTTATCATGAAGAAATTACATACAGTACATCTACAAGAATTGAGTCACTGAATAAATATGCAGATAAAGGTGTCTGCCTATTCTGTAACATTCATGATCTGCAGGCTTGTCAGTGACTCAAGTATTAAAGCCAGAGGCTCAACACAACAGCCAGACGTGGTATTTTCAGTAGGTCTGCAATGGCAGTTTCTGTAGATTTCTCATGACAGATTCATTATAAAAGCTATACAGAACTCTCATGCAGTCACAGCAATTGTAAGAGACCTGCCTGTTCATCGATGCAGCGGAATTGCCATGCCCAAGATGCATTGTATAGGAACGGCCGGAGGTCAAACCGGTTATCGTCCGGGCTATAGCTTTCGGCATGGTATGCAGGTGTCAGGGTCGTCATTTTGTGCCTGTTAATGGAGTACATCCTGAAGAAATATTTCACTTTCTCAGCTACCTGAAATGCAATGGGCAGAAGCAACAATTTAATCTGATGGATTCCACACAGCCACTCTATTCAGAACTGAACCACATATGTTTGTTTTGCTTAGTCTTTGGCTTTTATGGAAATACATCATATTATATGCAATTTAGTCCATTTAACTACACATAACTATTGTACGTATTCAGTGTGCTGGTTGCCATGGTTACTATGCATTCACTATTGTAAGAATTCAGTGTATTGGTTGCCATGATTACTGAACATTTCTATAGAAAGTATTCAATGTATTGGTTGCCATGGCCATTGCACATTCACCATAGTAAGAATTCGGAGTACTGGTTGGCATAGTTACTGCTACCTTGCTATAGTAAACATTTGGTGTAATGGTTACTGTGTATTCATTATATTAAAAATTCAGGTAAATGGTTGCCATGGTTACTGAGCAAGCATTCACTGTACTGGTTACTATGGTTACTGAACATTCACTATAGCCAGAATTCAGTGTACAGGTTGTCATTGTTACTGAAAATTCACTATAGTAAGAATTCAGTGTAATGTATTCAAGTGTTCATAGTACCTGTTTCCATGGTTACCACACATTACTATTCTAATTATTCAATCCACTTGTTGCCATGGAGTATTCACTATAGTAATAATTAATTCTGCTTGCTGTTGCTGTGCATTGCTTTATTAAATAGTTGGTGTACTAGTTGCAATGGCTGCTGTACATTCACTATAGTAGGAATTCAGAGCACTGGTTGCCATGGTTACTGGGAACTGCTATAGTAATTATTCAGTGTACTGGTTACCATGGTTTCTGTGCATTGACACTAGTCAAGAATTCAATGTACTGGTTGTCAATGTTTTTTTTTCACATTCACTATAATAAGAAAAAATTAAGTGCACTTGTTGCCATGGTACTGTGCAATGCTCTAGTAAGAATTCAGTATACTGGATGACATGTTACCGCGCATTCAGTTTGAAATAGGAAAGCAGGGGGAGTAGCAGGATCACCAGGTATTTCAGACAGAGGAATCAATACAACAGGATACTTCTTAACACAAGTACAGGGCGACACAGACACATATCAGAAATATGAAATGTTGGGGTTACATACACTTTAAAGATCAGTTCACCCAACCCTGCTATTTAGTGTTTAGTAGCCACTGTGGAGTTAGTGCACCTGACAGATTCTTTATATTTTCTTATATATACACACAAATATACACACAGGAGTTAGATATAAAAATAGAAACATTAACAGAAACTTCAAAGAGGGCAAATTGTTGGTGTATGTTTAGCTGGCGCCTCTGTGACTGAAGTTGCCAATTTATTTGCCGTGTCACTAGGTACAGTATCAAAGGTTATTACGGCAAATACAGTTTCCAGGAAAATATCATCTGATAAGCATAAGCGCTGTGGTCAACTGTCCGAAAAAGACATAAGCACATTGTGCAGGATTGTGACACGGAATAAGAAAACAACTGCTGCAAGGGTGACTGCACAGCTCAATCTCAGTCCAGTCACTTTTGCAGCAGTTGCAAAGGAATGTTACATCACTTTCGCTGTCAATGTGAAACATGATGTCACTTTCACACCTGCAAATCATGTAGTGTTTCCATTTATTTGTCTAACCTCTGTATATGGTATAAGGTTTGAGGACCAAAGATCCATTATCTCCTGCGCTCAAGGACTCAGATCAAACAGGCGTTAGTGACAAGCAGCGTGTTGTGTATTCATCCACTGGTGATCAGAGGTTGTGCAGCTCTATCATGAAGCTGGTGAAGCTTAATAAAACTGTAGAGGAAGATGAAAGAAAGAGCGCACAAACCTTGCGCATTACCTCAATAAATAGTGACTAATTTTATTAATAAGGAAATATACACACAAAATGATTGTATAACAGGCATAAGTAACCATAATCCAAACAGGGTTACAGGTAAATCAAAAAGGGGGGGGGGTATGAAGGCTAACGCGTTTGAAGGATGCTCCCTTCTTCATCAGAGCTGGGTTAGGCAGATAGAAACTTCAGTATGGCAGAGTTCCCATGGCAAGGAGATATTCAGCCACTGAGTGTCAGTATTACAGGCTGAACTGCTGTAATACTGACACTCAGTGGCTGAATATCTCCTTGCCATGGGAACTCTGCCATACTGAAGTTTCTATCTGCCTAACCCAGCTCTGATGAAGAAGGGAGCACCCTACGAAACGCGTTAGCCTTCATACCCCCCCCCCCTTTTTGATTTACCTGTAACCCTGTTTGGATTATGGTTACTTATGCCTGTTATACAATCATTTTGTGAGTATATTTCCTTATTAATAAAATTAGTCACTATTTATTGAGGTAATGCGCAAGGTTTGTGCGCTCTCTCTTTCATCTTCCTCTATAAGGTTTGAGGACACCTGACCATCACACCTATATGTCTTGTTGGACATCCCATTCCAAAACCATGCCTATTGCTTCCTCTTGTAGCTATTACACACTACATTCTTCTAGAAAGCTTCTCTAGATTAGTGTGTCTATGGAAATGTGGGCCCATCCAGACAAAAGAACATTTGTGAGGTCAGGTACTGATGTTGGATGAGAGGTCCTAGCTTGCAATCTGCTTTCCAACTTCCAGTCCCCAAAAGTGTTCATTAGGGTTGGGGTCAGGGCTTAGTACAAGGCACTCAAGCTCCTTCACACCAAACCATGTCTTCATAGAGCTGGGATTGTACACAGGGGCACAGTTATCCTGGAACAGAAAAAAAGACTTTCCCAAACTGTTAGCACAAGGTTGGACATGCACAATTGTCTAAAATGTCTTTGTATTAACTAAAACCTCCACTAAACTCTCCTGAACTCAATAATTCAGAGCTGTCTACATGCTTTTGGTCATACAGTAGGTGTGATGGTCAGGTGTCCATATACTTTTGGCTATACTGTGTATCTCTTGGGAACTTAGTGAGATCTCTGTGCTAAGTTCCTGCGACTGCACACATGCTGTCACCATTATGAGCATTCCCCACTCACCTGGTTTTATGTATTTATTTTATATTACGGAGCATGTATCAGGAGGAACTGGAACACACAAAAGGTGGCAAGAATATTCAAAATTTCCAGGTAGACAGGAACAAAGGTAGGGAGATCTCGTGTGAATGACAAAGACGGTCCTGGGACTGATTTTACCATACCTAAAATATCACTTTTGGGTGGTCTGACCCTTTAAAGCGCAACACCACAAGAACTTTATTTTCCTTTTTAGGACAGCATGAAAAATGGTTGGATCCTTTTGTCAGGTTGCTATATTTTACAGTTAGTAGTCCCCAGCAGAGGAAGTCAGAAGTGCAAGTAAGAAGACACTTACCTGTCTAGGTGCTACTGTCCTCCACATGAGAAGCAGTTTACAGAACATGCTGTATGGTCCAGTTTTCACAACTTTTCTCAGCTTTCCATAGACGGACAGCTCATCATATGTCATTCCCATATCCTCCTGTAGGGCACATGATGGTTAGAAAAGTATTAGAAAAACTAGAAATCTGATAATGCGGAAGATTCTTTAGTCTGCTGAACCACTTCACCATGATATTGTGTAGTGACATGTATTTGCAAACATGTGCTAACTAAACTCCTGTTTTTAACACATTAGGCTAATTCGGTTTGTTTGCAAGCTGGTAAGTTGAGCTGGGAATTTTCTTTTATTGTTTGACATGTGTTGCCCTTCCATGTGCTCCTTGCTGTGAAGGCCAGTTATAGACTGGGGAAGTGGACAATTTTTGTACGGTTGTCTTGTTGGTGAGGGGTGCACTGGACACCTTGGCTGTCATTGTGCTATATGCTAGGTGTTCTCTGCACTCCTGTACCTTTGAGGAGGGGTGGGCTCCCTCAGGTTCACCTGCCCTCAGTCTATCCAATAAATGCATGTGCCTCTACTATGGAGGCTCTCAAAATTTGTAGTTAGGAAACACAGAATATCGGGGTGCCGCGAAGAGGCTCTGCAGCTTACGCGTGTATTTGCAAATGTGTGCTAACTAAACCCATTTTTAACGCAGTGGCCAATTTTTGTACTATTTTGTTTGCAACCAGGCTACATAAACAGTAATAATTGAAGACTTTTTTTGTTACATTTTAGGAGTTATATTGCTTGAACATGGGATTTAAAATAAATCAGCATGCTAAAAAGTCGGACCTCTGCTTAAGGTGGAGTGTATCAGTCCGACTCTCCCCCTGCCCTGTGCTTCACTCAACAACTCTTCGCACAGCCTTTCAAGAAAAGAGTATATAAACCTTTTCTGCAGCAAAATAGGACTATTAAAAACTAAAAACAAAGCCCCAACTATCATCGATTATCCAACCTGGCTCTCGGCAGATATGGGTCCACCTACTTTGTCAGTTAAGCACAGACTGCTAACAAGCAAGCAGACAGAACAGGGCTTTATTATAAGAAAGTTCTGCATAGAAAAAAAAAAAATAAAAAAAATATATATATATATATATATTTTTTTTATTACACACACACACAGCTCAAAAAAATGAAAGGAACACTTTGAAAACACATCATATCTCAATGGGGAAAAATATCATGCTGTATAATCTATAGTGATATGGACTGGGTAATGTGTTAGGAATGTAAGGATGCCCATCGTTTGATGGAAATGAAAATTATCCACCTAAAGAGGACTGAATTCAGATACCCTGAAAATCAAAGTGAAAAAAATGATGCAGAAGGCTAGTCCATTTTGCTGAAATTTCATTGCAGCAACTCAAAATGGTACTCACGTGCTTCTATGTATGACTAACAATGTCGGGCCATGCTCCTAATGAGACGACGGATGGTGTCCTGGGGTATTTCCTCCCAGATCTGGACCAGGGCATCACTGAGCTCCTGGACAGTCTGAGGTGCAACCTGGCAGCGTTGGATGGACCGAAACATGATATCCCAGAGGTGTTCTATTGGATTCAGGCGAGCGTGGGGGCTATTCAATGGTATAAATTCCTTCATTCTCCAGGAACTGCCTGCATACTCTCGCCACATGAAGCCAGGCATTGTCGTGCACCAGGAGGAACCCAGGATCCACTGCACCAGCGTAGGGTCTGAAAATGGGTCCAAGGATTTCATTCCAATACCTAATAGCAGTCAGGGTGCCATTGTCTAGCCTGTAGAGATCTGTGCATCTCTCCATGGATATTTCTCCCCAGACCATCACTGACCCACCACCAAAACGGTCATGCTGAAAGATGTTACAGGCAGCATAACGATCTCCATGGCTTTGCCAGACCCCTTCACGTCTGTCCAGGGGCGGACTGACAACTCATGGGGCCCCCGGGCAATAGGGGATCATGGGGCCCGTGTCCTTGCCCAAACTCAAAAAAGCCTATGAAAAAGGTACCAGGGGCATCTCATGGGGCCCCCTACTGACCCCGGGCCCTCGGGCAGTGCCCGAGTTTTCAAATGGTCAGTCTGCCCCTGCGTCTGTCACATGTGCTCAGGGTGAACCTGCTCTCATCTGTGAAAAGCACACAGCACCAGTGGCAGACCTGCCAATTCTGATGTTCAATGGTAAATGCCAGTCGAGCTCTATGGTGCTGGGCAGTGAGCACAGGGCCCACTAGAGGATGTCTGGCCCTCAGGCCACCCTCATGAAGTCTGTTTCTGATTGTTTGGTCAGAGATATTCACACCAGCGCCCTGCTGGAGTTCATTTTGTAGGGCTCTGGCAGTGCTCATTCTGTTCCTCCCTGCACAAAGGAGCAGATACAAGTCCTGCTGATGGGTTAAGGACCTTCTGCGGCCCTGTCCAGCTCTCCTGGAGTAACTGCTTTCAGCTATAAAAAATATATAGTAAACTCAAAGTTGGTTATAAATTTAGGCCAAAATGTATTCTGCTACATGTTTTTGGTAAAAAAAATCCCAATAAATGTATATTGATTGCTTTGTGTGAAAGTTATAGCGTCTACAAACTATGGTATAGATACTGCAATTTATGCCATTTTTTTGCTATGCAGCGCTGCGCTAGTTTAACGGACAATTGCGCGGTCATGCAATACGGTACATAAATGAAATTTACATCCTTTTTTTCCCACAAATTGAGCTTTCTTTCCATGGTATTTGATCGCCTGTGCGGTTTTTATTTTTTGCGCTATAAAAGAAAAAGGCTGACAATTTTGAGGAAAAAAAACAATGTAAAAATCAAATTTTGTCATACATTTCTGCCAAAATGCATTCTGCGACATGTCTTTGCTAAAAAAAAAAAACCAATACGTGTAAATTAATTGGTTTACGTGAAAGTTATAGCGTTTACAAATGGCGGGAAAGATACTGGGATTTTTAGGGTTTTTCTAGCGACTTATGGCGGGACTGCGGCGGACATTCTGACATTGGGGGGTACTGACTTGGGGTCACTGACATCCCCAGTGACACCAATACAGTGATCAGTGAAAAAAAAAAACCACTGACACTGTACTAATGGCACTGGGGAGGAAGGGTTAAGTTTATTATTCAGGGAAAGGGTTAACTGTGTGAGGGGAGTGTTTTACTAGGGGGCGGGGGTGTGTACTGCAGGGAACACCGCTGATTGGGAGAGAGAAACTTTTCTGTCCCAATCAGCGTGTCCTGGAGCTGTTAGGGAACTGACAGAAAGCACAGCTACTGCAGCTGTGCTCTCTGTCAGCGATCGCCAGGAAATAGCTGGTAACGACCGGCTGTGACTCGGCGACTGACATCCGTGGCTGTGATCGGCGGGACAGGTAGGGCGGCGGCGCGCCTCGCGCGCGCCCCCTACCTGTTTTAAAAACACACGTTTTAAAACGTGGTTTTGCCCAGCCATGCCGCCCTGCCGCCGTATTTCTACAGTGGCTGGGCGGCATGTGGTTAAATGACTTAATGCAATACTCTCATTTAAAAAAGTGTTTCTTTAATATTTTTGAGCAGTGTATATTGACATATGAAAAAAAAATTGTGTGATTTGGTCCTCAAAGGTTGATCTGCATTAGTGGTATAAAGGAGTAAAGGCTGTTCTCTTTGCTGGCAATATTGGTGTTCACTTTAGGTACCCAATTATGTATAAGAGAGATTTAAAAAGTTTTTTTAATTTTAATAGATTTTTTAAACAATTATTTTACAATCATAAAATAAAGGATATAAAACTTCATTTGAAAGAGGAGCTTCAGTCAGTTCTGCAAAAATTAAAAGCCAGCAGCTACAAAAACTGTAGCTGCTGAAATTTAATAAACAGACACTCACTCATCCGAGGATCCATTGCAGTCTTTACCAGAGCTGGTTCTTCACCAGTCTTAGGGTCCCTGGCGCTGGCAGCTGACTGTGACTCCTTGCAGTTTCACAGCCAGCTTGCTGCTTTGAATGGTCCCGCAGCCTTCTGGGACCTGTGAAGTGTCCCATAATGTTGCGGGTGGGGAGGAGAACTCTTGGTGGATACACCGTGGTAATCTGGCCGGAAGTAAGAGTGGGTACCTGCCCCCCCCAAACAAAAATGAAGAGAATGAACTTTCTCTTTTGGGGACAAGGAAGAGACTGTATAATAAGAGATCAATGATTGTCCTACTTCGTCAGTCTGCGATACGTGTCCATCTGTGAGCGGCTCCAATTCTGCTGTTGGTGGGGCAGACAGTATACTGAAATATAAAACACATGAAGAACACAGGGTGAGTTACGTCCATCATATCAGGACTAAACAGTATACATTTCATTTTTAAATCAGGGGAATATTTAAAAGGAAAATCAGGAAATAGTGCACATGACCACATTAAGGGAGTAAGTGGAGTGCTAGAATGATGATCACACTTTTTTTTGCAGTTTACTGCTATGCTGCAAAGTGTGATTTTTATCTCCAGCTGTTCAGCTTTATTCAGATTACACAAAAAGCTAAAAATATTCAGATGAGAGACCCCCAGCCCCTCCTTGTTTCTGGTTCTTATAGGTTGTTTTTTTCCATTAAGAGTGAGACAGTCCACAATATCAGTTTTGAGTGGACTGTCTTTTTAAATGTCTGGCACCTCATTTGTTCAGATGGAAGCTTGGTCTTCTCTCACCTTGTCAAAGCTCTGAGCCGAAATGTATCAATAGCATAACCGATGAATCTTCTCAGATCTGTTTTACTGATCCCACCAATAGGGTTTATGTCGGCACTGGAGCAGTCATACTTTGTTAAGTATCCTCGAAGGCTTAAAAAAAGAAACAGTATAAAAATGATGCTGATTGAAACTCAATATTTGCAAATTATATTAAGGGACTTTAATAAACACCAGGAGGAGAGAAGTGCTGTGAAGGGTATAATTGTTATACCCAAATATCTCAAGGATTCACACAGCCACCAAGAAAGATCCCAGTAATTTGCCTGCTATGTTTATTTCCTATGTTTGCCAGTGCCATCTAGTGGCCACAATGTGGCATTTCCCTGATTGCGGTATTTCAGGAAAAGACCACATTGTGGGCATTAGATAGTACTGACAATCCTAGAAACTAAACATCTTAGGTAAATCAAGAGCATTATTCATGATGGTTCTGCGAACACTTGAGAAGCTTGAACAGCAAATCTTTTAAAAATAGCCCCCAAAACAGTTTTGGTTTTAAATGAATATACAAATCCCTAATCTCTTTTTCAGTATGTCAGGCATCATCATACCTTAACCACAAGCCTACAGGGCATTATACTCCCTTCCTGCCCAGGCGATTTTCCAGCTTTCAGCACTGTCACACTTTGAATGACAATTGCGCGGTCATGAAACACTGTATCCATATGAACTTTTTATCATTTTTTTGTGACATTTTTTTGCTTTATTTTGGTGGTATTTGATCACCTCTGGGTTTTTTGTTTTTTCTTAAACACAAACCAAAATCCACTGAAAATTTTGAAAAAAAAAGTTTTTTCTTAGTTATTGTTATAAAATGTTGTAAATAAGTGATTTTTCTCCTTCACCGGTGTGCGCTAATGAGGCCGCAGTGATGGGCACTGATGGACACTGATAGGTGGCACTGATGAGGAGGCACTGGTAGGTGGCACTGATGGGCATTGACAGGCATCACTGATGGGCACTGAAAGGCAGCTCTCATATATGGCACTGATAGGCGGCACTGATAGGCAGCACTGACTGGCATTATGTGGCACTGATTGGCACTGTTAGGCGGTACTGATAGGCAGCACTGACGGGCACTGATGAGCGGCACTGATGCACACTGATAGGTGGCACTGATAGGCGGCACTGACGGGCACTGATTGGCAGCACTGATAGGCACTGATAGGTGGCACTGACTGGCACTGATAGGTGACACTGAAAGGCAGCTCAGATGGGCACTGATATGTGGCATTGATGTGCACTGGTAGGCACTGATATGTGGCATTGATGCGGCACTGATGGGCACTGGCAGGTGGCATGGATGAGCACTGACAGCTGGCACTGATGGACACTGACAGGTGGAACTGCTGGGGCTACATAGATCATCAGGGCACACTGATCATCAGTGCCCTGATGATCAGTGCACATGTCCCCTCCGAGGAATGCCGATTACCGGCTCTCCTCTCCTCTGTCAGCGTGACAGCTCATGAGGAGAGAAATGCCGGTAACCGGCATTTCCCTATTTACATGCGATCAGCTGTGATTGGACACAGCTGATCACATGACCGAGCCAACATCTTAGGCTCTTTCCGTTGATCGGTGATCCGCTGTGTCCGAGGTACACAGCACACCGCCGATCGCCACACTGCGCGGTTAGATTGGGAGGACGTCATCGTACTATATGGCAGGCGGGAGGCGGTTAAAGAGAAACTTCACCCCACCCCCTTTGGTAATTACCCCCCCATGAGAAAAACAGCAGGTGTGGTAACAAGAAGTGCCATCATCCCTGGCGTATAGGGATATATGGAAGAACCCTCTTTTTTGTGGGATTTTAAAAGGCACAGACAGAACCAATAGAACCATTCGTAAAGACTTTTACAGACCATAGTTTATTCATACAAAATATTAAAATGAACATAGACAAACAAGATATGGTGGTAATATGTTACATATCTGTTGTAATAAATGCATAGGTGAGAGAGATGAAATACAATCTATGCAAGCATTTGACACGTTTCGAGCCAAATGGCAATCTCTTCTTCAGAATGTCTAAATAGGGCATGATACCTGCAATGGATACATTATTGTAAGCGTATCGCCATATATCTCCATTGGAAGTTACAGTCACAAGTACAGTTGCAAGAAAAAGTATGTGAACCCCTTGGGATTATGTGGAGTTTTGCATGAATTGGGCATAAAATGTGCTCTGAACGTCATCTAAGTCACAACAATAGAAGAACACAGTCTGCTGAACATAATACTACACAAACTAGATGTTGCCATGGTTTAATTGCACATAACATGTAAACATTCACAGTGCAGGGAGGAAAAAGTATGTGAGGCCCTAGCTTAATGACTTCTCCCAGAGCTAATTGGAGTCAGGAGTGAGCCAACCTTGACTCCAATAAGTGTGATGATATTGGATGTGTTGCTGACAGCTGTCCTGCCCTTAAAAAAACACACACCTGCTTTGGGTTTACTGGTTTCAAGAAGCACTGTCTGATGTGAACCATGCCTTGCAGAAAAGAGCTCTCAGAAGACCTACGATCAAGAATTGTTGACTTGCATGAAGCTGGAAAGGGTTACAAAAGTATCTCCAAAAGCCTTGATGTTCATGTGTCCACGGTAAGACAGACTGTCTACAAATGGAGAAAGTTTAGCACTGTTGCTACTCTCCCTAGGTGTGGTCGTCCTGTAAAAATGACTGCAAGAGCACAGAGCAGAATGCTGCATGAGGTAAAGAAGAATCCCAGAGTGTCAGCTAAAGACCTACAGAAATCTCTGGCACATGCTAACATTTTTGTTGACACATCTACAATAAGGAAAACATTAAACAAGAATGGAGTACATGGGAGGAAGCCATTGCTGTCCAAAAAGAATATTACAGCACGTTTGAAGTTTGCAAAAGAGCACCTGGATGTTCCACAGCACTACTGGCAAAATATACTGTGGACAGATGAAACCAAGATTGAGTTGTTTGGGAAGAACACACAACACTATGTGTGGAGAAAAAAAGGCACAGCACACCAACATCAAAACCTCATCCCCACTGTAAAACATGGCCGAGGGAGCATCATGGTTTGGGGCTGCTTTGCTGCCTCGGGGCCTGGACGGATTGTTGTCATTGATGGGAAAATGAATTCCAGAGTTTATCAAGACATTTTGCAGGAAAATATACGACCATCTGTTCGCCAACTGAAGCTCCGCAGAGGATGGGTGATGCAACAGGACAATGACCCAAAGCATACAAGTAATTCAACAAAACAATGGCTGTAGCAGCACAGAATACGCCTTCTGGAGTGGCCCAGTCAGAGTCCTGACCTCAACCCGATTGAAATGCAGTGGCATGACCTTAAGAGAGCGATTCACACCAGACATCCCAAGAATATTGCTACACTGAAACAGTTTTGTGAAGAGGAGTGGTCCAAAATTACTCCAGATCGTTGTGCAGGTCTGATCTGCAACTACAAGAAACGTTTGGTTGAGGTTATTGCTGCCAAAGGAGGGTCAACCAGTTATTAAGTTCAAAGGTTCACATACTTTTTCCTCCCTGCACTGTGAATGTTTACATGTTATGTGCAATTAAACCATGGCAACTTCTAATGTTTGTGTAGTAATATGTTCAGCACACTGTGTTCTTCTATTGTTGTGACTTAGATGACGTTCAGAGCACATTTTATGCCCAATTCATGCAAAACTCCATGTAATCCCAAGGGGTTCACATACTTTTTCTTGCAACTGTATATGGATATCACTTACATAGCCCAACATTGGAGCAAACAGCATGACCGCCAATTGACTAAAACTGGAAAGAACATAAATGTGGCCAATGTTTCCCAGATCCTCCCAGTCAGTTGGTGGTTCTTGCAGCCAGGCCCCCTGGTAACATGCAACTGCACACGCACAGTGTGTTCTAGAATTCCCTGAAGCCTCCTAGGATGCACAACTTGAGTATCCCAGGAGGTTGTGGGCAGCTATGGACGTCATTCTCTCCTAAAAAGGGAAGGCCGAAGCACAGGCTGTGATCTCCGAAAAAGAGATATCCCTCGTTTTTTACCTGGCGATTCTGCCAGTAACATCCTGTTGCAAGGTGACAATGCTAAGCCTCAAAATTAGCAGCAGGGTTGTCAGTCTGCCTTCAGTTGCTGGATGCATGCATAGACTCAAAGGCTTGATGACACTGGTCATCCTCCAGCCAGAAAATGAGCCAAGAATTGAGGCAGGCTCTATCGGACTAGCTGCAGCTTCTAATGCACACTGTGAGAAGATCACAGTGTGCATTGAAATCAGAGTAAGCAATTTCAGTATAGGAGAGGAGTCTGTACAACACTCCCTGATGATCCTGCCACGAAGACATTTGTTTAGACACTTTGGGGTTTATTTACTAAAGCTTGTTGACTCAGAATCTTGTGCACTTCTGCATGGAAACCAATCAGCTTCCAGGTTTTATTGCTAAAGCTTAACTGAACAAGCTGAAGTTAGAAGCTGATTGGCTACCATGCACAGGTGCACGAAATTCTGAGTCAACCAGCTTTAGTAAATAAACCCCTTCCTGTTCTAGGCTAACAACTGTCTCTGAATTGCATCTCTGCATTGCCATGCTGCTCCCTTGATTGAGACGTCAAACAGCAATGCAGATACATAGCCTGGTCCATCATTATCCACCAAGCAAACGGGGCAAGTGCATGTAGACAGGATGTGACTGAAAGAGGTTGGAGGAGATCAGCAGCACTAAGATGCAGATAAAGGATGAATGGAAATGAGCAATTGTTTATGATACACAGTGATTTAGCAAACTTAATGTCATCCAGTTAGGGGCTCTATCTACTTTTAATGATTTTAGCCACCCATTATAAAGTAATGTCCAGATCTATCAATAAACTAGAATTCTGGATTTCACAACTCTTATTGCCTTACCTATTAGTCAGTACTCATATTCTTTATATATAAATGTTGGATCTAACCTTTCATCCACATTAGCTGATCCGAGAACCAGAAGTCCTCCTGGTAAGCCACGTGTCCAGAGGCTGAGCTGTGCAAACAAATACGCCATCACCATCCTTAATCGGGCCTGTAGATGCAAGTGACATGACAATATCCTTTAACATGGGCCTAGCCTCCATTATACTATATCATTTCATATTAAACACTTGCATGCTCAGTAATGTATCAGTGTAACACTTCTAGGTATTCCAGATGTCAGATCATGGTACTCCTCCTGACATTGTTCTCCAGAAGGATGGCACATAAACCAGGGTCACAATCTCTAATCCTGGATTGAAGGCTGACTCAGAAATTACACAATTATGTAAAAATAGGTACCTGTGCAGTTCTTGGCTGTGTTCACAAATGTCCAACACAAATCAGCCCTTGCTACAGCGCTCACCTTGTTGCTTACTACAAAGTTATTATGTTGTAGTCTGATTACTAGAGGAGAAAAGACCTCTTGGAAAATGCCTTCTCATGCCTGCAGCAGACTGAAGACATCATCTCAGCCTAGGCAAAGTCACTTTTTAATGATTAAAAGGTGGAGTTTCTAAGAAAAATAATTCTGTTGCTACATCTGGATACAGTGAACTGCAAGGAATGTATTCATGCAGACTTGTACAATTACTGAAAGGTCCACTTTCACCACCTGTTGAGTGCTGTATGTATATATTGCCCTCTCAGCAAGTGGTTATAATGGCGTATTTTTTTTTTCTTACAGTCAGCAATTGACTGTTAAGTAAACGTTATCCAGATGGTTTTAGTGAAATGAGAAGGGGGTCTAATAGTATGTAGCAAATACACCCTCTAGTTCACATACACTATATTGCCAAAAGTATTGGGACACTCCTCCAAATTATTGGATTCAGGTGTTCCAATCACCTCCATGGCCACAGGTGTACAAAATCAAGCACCTAGGCATGCAGACTGCTTCTACAAACATTTGTGAAAGAATGGGTCACTCTCAGGAGCTCAGTGAATTCAAGTGTGGTACCGTGATAGGTTGCCACCTGTGCAATAAGTCCATCTGTGAAATTTCCTTGCTACTAAATATTCCACAGTCAACTGTTAGTGGTATTATAACAAAGTGGAAGCAACTGGGAACAGCAGCAACTCAGCCACAAAGTGGTAGGCCACGTAAAATGACAGAGCGGGGTCAGCCCATGAGAAGCGCACAGTGCGCAGAAGTTGCCAACTGTCTGCAGAGTCAATAGCTAAGGAGCTCCAAACTTCATGTGGCCTTCAGATTAGCACAACAACAGTGTGTAGAGAGCTTCATCCAAACCTTACATCACCAAGTGCAAAGCAAAGCATCGGATGCAGTGGTGTAAAGCATGCCGCCACTGGACTCTAGAGCAGTGGAGATGTGTTCTCTGGAGTGATGAATCACGCTTCTCTGTCTGGCAATCCAATGGACGTGTCTGGGTTTGGCGGTTGCCAGGAGAACAGTACTTGCCTGACTGCATTGTGTGAAGTGTAAAGCTTGGTGGGGGGGGGATTATGGTGTGGGGTTGTTTTTCAGTGGTTGGGCTTTGCTCCTTAGTTCCAGTGAAGGGAACTCTTAAGGCATCAGCCTACCAAGACATTTTGGACAATTTCATGCTCCCAACTTTGTGGGAACAGCTTGGGGATGGCCCCTTCCTGTTCCAACATGACTGCACACCAATGCACAAAGCAAGGTCCATAAAGACATGGATGAGTGAGTTTGGGGTGGAGGAACTTGATTGGAGACTGCGAGTCAGGCCTTCTAGTCTGACATCAGTGCCTCACCACACAAATGCACTTCTGGAAGAATGGTCAAACATTCCCATAGACACACTCCTAAAACTTGTGGACAGACTTCTCAGAAGAGTTGAAGCTGTTATAGCTGCAGAAGGTGGGCCAACTCAATATTGAACCCTATGGACTAAGACTGGGATGCCATAAACGTTCATGTGCATGTAAAGGCAGGCGTCCCAATACTTGTGGCAATAGTGTGTGTGTCTGTTTTTAATTTCAAAGGTAATGATATTTTTCAAATCAGCTAGGTTTTGCATTCTGCGCCCACGCTTGCCATAGCTATGCACCTCATGGCATTATCGTCTCCTTTCACCCACCCAAGAAGCATTTATTATTATTATTATCGTTGGTGTCAGTGGGAGGAATGGTGCCTCATCGTTGGTGTCAGTGGGAGGAATGGTGCCTCATCGTTGGTGTCAGTGGGAGCAATGGTGCCTCATCGTTGGTGTCAGTGGGAGCAATGGTGCCTCATCGTTGGTGTCAGTGGGAGCAATGGTGCCTCATCGTTGGTGTCAGTGGGAGCAATGGTGACCACTGACCAGTGGAAGCAATGGTGCCTCATTGTTGGTGTCAGTGGGAGCAATGGTGCCTCATTGTTGGTGTCAGTGGGAGCAATGGTGCCTCATCGTTGGTGTCAGTGGGAGCAATGGTGCCTCATCGTTGGTGTCAGTGGGAGCAATGGTGCCTCATCGTTGGTGTCAGTGGGAGCAATGGTGCCTCATCGTTGGTGTCAGTGGGAGGAATGGTGCCTCATTATTGGTGTCATTTGGAGCAATAGTGCCTTATCGTTGGTGTCAGTGGGAGGAATAGTATCCCAAGGGTTAGATAAAGGCAAGCAAAGAGCAGCATCCATCACAGACCTATACAGTCCTTAGTGTATGACTGTCATGCTGTTTTCATTATATCCCCTAACTCTGTATGTTAAATTAAAAATTTAAATAAAAACAACAATTTAAAAAAATCTAAAATCTGTTTTTGGTGGACTAGGAGGAAAAAGATTACATACTCCCTGTGATCAGGAGGAGGAGGAATAGTGCCCCTATCAGTGGTATGAGTGGGGGGAATAGTGCCCATGACTGATGTGTTTGGGAGAAATAGTACTCCATCATTGGTATAAGTGGGATGAATAGTGCCCCATTGTTAGTGTTAATGGGAAGAATAGTGCTTATTAATTTATTAATGGGAGGAATAGTGCCCCATCGTTGGTTTCAGTAGGAGGAATAGTGCCCCATCATTGGTATCAGTGGGAGGAATAGTGCCCCATCATTGGTGTCAGTGTAAAGAATAGTGCCCCATCATTAGTGTCAGTGGGAGGAATAGTGCCCCATCATTGGTGTCAGTGTGAGGAATAGTGCTCCATCATTGGTGTCAGTGGGAGGAATGGTGCCCCATCATTGGTATCTGTGGGAGGAATAGTGCCCCATCATTGGTGTCAGTGGGAGGAATAGTGCCCCATCATTAGTCAGTGGGAGGAATAGTGTCCCATCATTGGTGCCAGTGTGAAGAATAGTGCCCCATCATTGGTGTCAGTGGGAGGAATAGTGCCTCATCATTGGTGTCAATAGGAAGTATAGTGCCCCAAGGGCCAGATAAAGGCAAGCAAAGGGCAACATCCAGCCTGAGGGCTGCAGTTTTGAGACCACTGTCCTATACAGTTCCTAGTGTATGACTGGTCATCTTGTTGTCATTGTATCTCCTAATTCTGTATGTTAAATTAAAAGAAAAAAATGTATTAAGATAAAGCAATAAAAAAAAATCTAAAACCTGTTTTGGGTGAACTGATCCTTAGAATGGCTTATAGGAGAGCACAGAGTGGCTTTATCTACCTGGAAGAAGTGTCGATAAAGGTGTGTAAGTGGTCGGGTGTGTGAATGCCACAGATGATTAGGGTGACACCATGCAATTTTTATGACTCCTAAAGTTTTCATTACTCAAACTTCACATTTCTGTGATAAGTAAGTTGCACGTATCTTTTTTCCTGGGACCCGATCCTAACCACAGCAGCATGCTCTTTGCATCAAGGGCCTTTAGAACTATAACAAAATTCCATGAAGATGGCAGGGTGTACATATAATACACTTTACACCAGAAGTACTTTACATTTATAAAGAAAACATTTATAGAAAAGCAAAGCCCTCTAAACAGGTTTTTGCTTTTATAGAAGGAATGAAAATACCTGGACATTCTGAAGCGCCAAATTCTCTTGTCCAGTTCCACCATGAACACGAAACTGAGGGACTTTGCCAGTCACAGAGGTAAAAATGCAAATAACAGCCTTCACAGCGGTGTCAATGATTGGGGTCAGGTGATAACTGAAATACAAAATATTGAATATAGTTGAAGTGCATCTCTATATGGAACCCCTTTTTTTTGGGCTTTGGCTAGAATGGGAGAAGAGTTGGACTCCCCCATAGGTAGGATTCAAACCTCTATCTATACTGTTGACCATTTTCATTGAGAAAGAAAGTGATAGAAAGTCAAAACTGACCCCAGAAAAAGAGGTAAGGATAACATTTCCATTGAAAACAACTGTCTAGGAGGAGAATTCCCACTTTCAGAGATTTCCTAATATGTCCGTTTTCATCTCTGGGACAGGAAGTAAAGGTAAATTTCCCCTATAATATCCAGACAGCAAAAAAATAACAAAGCAGGGTTTTTGTTTTTCTCTCTTTACCCTATCCAAAAATAAGGAAAAAATATCTATAGCTACATTTTAAATACAAGCAAAATTTTTCCTTTGTCATGTTGTAAAGTAACTTTGATGTATATATATATATATATATACACACACACACACACATATACATACACACACACACACTATATTGCCAAAATTATGGGGATGCCTGCCTTTACACGCACGTGAATTTTAATTCAATATTGAAGTGTGTCTATGGGAATGTTTGACCATTCTTCCAGAAGCTCATTTGTGAAGTCAGGCACTGATGTCGGACGAGAAGGCCTGGCTCGCAGTCTGCGCTCTAATTCATTCCAAAGGTGTTCTATCGGGTTGAGGTCAGGGGTCTGTGCAGGCCAATCAAGTTCCTCTACCCCAAACTCGCTCAACCATGTCTTTATGGACCTTGCTTTGTGCACTGGTGTGCAGTCAAGTTGGATCAGGAAGGGGCATCCCAAACTGTTACCACAAAGTTGGGAGTATCAAAATCCAAGTGTCCAAAATGTCTTGGTATGCTGATGTCTTAAGATTTCCCTTAACAGGAACTAATGGGCCGAGCCCAGCCCCTAAAAAACAACCCCACACCATAATCCCCCCTCCACCAAACTTTACCCTTGGCACAATGCAGTCAGGCAAGTACCATTCCTCTGGCAACCGCCAAACCCAGACACGTCCATCAGGTTGCCAGACAGAGAAGCATGATTTGTCACTCCAGAGAACACGTCTCCACTGCTCTAGAGTTCAGTGGCGGCGTGCTTTACACCACTGCATCTGACACTTTGCATTGCACTTGATAATGTAAGGCTTGGATGCAGCTGCTCAGCCCCATTCCATGAAGCTCTCTAGGCACTCTTGTTGTGCTAATCTGAAGGCCACACGAAGTTTGAGGTCTTTAGCTATTGACTCTGCAGGCAGTTGGCGACTTCTGCGCACTGTGCATTTCAGCATGCGCAGACCCCGCTCTGTCATTTTAATTGGCCTACCACTTTGTGGCTGAGTTGTTATTGTTCCCAGTTGCTTCCACTTTGTTATAATACCACTAACAGTTGACAGTGGAATATTTAGTAGCAAGGAAATGTCACGGATGTACTTATTGCACAGGTGGCAACCTATCACGGTACCACGCTTGAATTCACTGAGCTCCTGAGAGCGACCCATTCTTTCACAAATGTTTGTAGAAGCAGTCTGCATGCCTAGGTGCTTGATTGTATACACCTGTGGCCATAGAAGTGATTGGAACACCTGAATCCAATAATTTGGAGGGGGTGTCCCAATACTTTTGGCAATATAGTATGTATGTATGTATGCATGTATGTATGTATGTATGTATGTGTGTACATATTACACACATACATATAGAGTATATGCATATACACACACACACTATCTCACAGAAGTGAGTACACCCCTCACATTTTTGTAAATATTTTATTACATCTTTCCATGTGACAACACTGAAGAAATGACACTTTGCTACAATGGGACATAGTGAGTGTACAGCTTGTATAACAATGTAAATTTGCTGTCCCCTTAAAATAACTCAGCACACAGCCATTAATGTCTAAACCACTGGCAACCATATACAGCTGCACCAGATTCTGAGTGCACCAGCTTTAGTATATCTCCCCCACAGTCTATCTATCCAAAATAAAAACAAAAACCAGAGACCCTCCATTTGATTGATTTAGAAAGCTCTTGATCAAATCTGACTATGCTACATGAAGCTATGGATTTTTTTCATTCTCCTCTGATCTCTCAAAGAAATATCTGTGTGTGCCTGAGAACTGTTCCCAATACAGATCTATTGAAAAATAGTTTTCAATCGTAATCGTTTTGACTGATCAATCATAATCTTTTATTAGGTTTAAGCCACTTGCAAAGTATGACACAATAACATGTGTTCTATATTTTAATTGATGATTAGGCAATTGATTTTGCAATCATTTGTACCTGCTGTATATCTATCATACAGGTCTACATGTATGGCCACCATTGTGTCTCCTGCCCTTCTCAGGTACCTGCCTATTTCCTGTGACAGCATTCTGGCCCTTTCTCGAGTCTCAGCAGAGGAGTTCTCAGTGGCCATGTAACAAGTGGTCAGTAGACGGTTGCAGAGCTCATTGGGAGTAGTGGTCATATAGGATTCATCACAGACTATATGACGTACATCACACAGCACTTCTTCATCTAGAAGAAAAAAAAAAACAAGTATTACATGAATTATTTGGCAATGCTTTACTTACCTTTATTAGTAACATTGTATTTTATTATTCAAAGGATTTGATAGGTGCACTTACTTCCCATATCCACAGCCTGGCATACGAGCCGACACATAGAGTACACGATACAGGCTACAGCAGAGCTGTCCACCCCACCACTGAGAGGAAGAAGGAACCCTCCCTGAAAAAAGCCATACACAGATATTATCATTAGAGCTGTCCTTCCATAAGGGGTATGGACATTGGCGTCACAAAACAGGATATTGGGCTTAGTGGCAGGCTCATGGTCGTGGGGACTCAGCTCAGACTCAAAGTTAAAGCTCAACTCCAGGCAAACAGCTAAATACACCACTGAAATGCATATATTAAGGCAGTTTACCTAATGGCATCTCTGTATTTACTGCTTTGAAGCAATACAACTTGGTCATCTTCCCACTCCCAGACTGTCATTGGTCAGTTAAAGAACAGTGGCAGACTGATGAGGTCACCTCTCTGCTTTCTAATACTCTAAATTGTAGCTCCAGATATGCCAACAACAGTTTTTTTTATTCTTTTATATTATTTTTTAAAACAAAGCAGCTATAGATGGACAGCTAAACAAGTAAAAAGGAGACTAGAGTTCTATCTGCTGGCTGAAAATAGGAATACAAAATGTTCATATGCAATATCTCTTTTGCGCTTTACCTGACTTACATGACCATAAAAAAATACAATGTATGCAAAATCACTATGCATCCCATTTATACCATATACAGTGTTTTATGACATAATCAGAAAAATTCTCACCTGTTTACTGCGTCTTAAATAGTCCCAAAGCCAACAGGCTGGTCCAAGACTGCAAAGCAGAAAATTAGCGATAATATTACCTCCCTTGACTTAGAGGTCATAGGCTGGGTGAACATATGTTTACTATATACGTGAAGTCACTTGGTGACCTGTATAAGAACCACATCTTCTATACGTTTACTGTTTCACTGACGTTTGTGGACTGTGATTTTGTGAATTCAAATGTGCATTTTTTTTTTACATATATTTGGTGAATCTTCTTATTTGGGAGTCCACTTCTGATGCTCCACAATATGATTGTGATAAGATACACAAAGTTGAATACAATTAACAAATATTGATATTGGGGATGTACTGTGACATTGCGTATTCTCACTCATAGCACTGAATTTTTTTTTTCTCTTTAATTGTTTTGGGATTTTTTTGGTGGATAAATCCATTTGTTTGGCAGTTATGCTTGTAGGTGGTTTCAGTAGAGGCATCACTGTGCAATCCTTTGTCTTTTGTTTCATTATGTTTTTATCTTTTTTCTTTTTTTTTTTACATTTATAAGTGGATTTGTGTTTTTCAGCAAATTAATTCATAGTTCTGGTCAGTCTTAGTGGTCAGTCACCATTGTCCTCCTTTAAGCTTTCTACATTATTATGAATGGTTTTGTTTACCTTCAACCCTATTCATACATAATCAATGGGTGTGAAGGTGTTTAAAGCTATTCATACCAGATCTGGGCAGCACTGGGGACAGTGGTGTCGGCTTCTTAATACAGTCAGATCGGAACTTTGCTGGGTTTATTTACTCGCCTTCATCTGCAATTTCTGCTGCCAGTGGGGAGTTGGTGGGCAGAGGGGGTAAAATAACAGAAGAAATATGTAGGTTGGGCGAGTAAGCAAACCCCACACAGTCCCGATCTGACAGCACTCATGTAAATTGAAGCCGGCAGCTGTGTGTATAGACACTGACAGGAGGGAGGGATGGGAGAGAGAATTCTGCCCACCTCCTCCAGGCTCTTTCCTCCACTCATACATACTTCAGCACTTGGCTTTGCTCTCTCTCCCCCTCCTCCCTCCTTCCAGTGCAGCTCCTGTATGCCTGTGATTACAGCAGCTGGCTTCTGAATACAGGAGCTGCACTGGAATGAGGGGGAGAGACGCACAGCCTCCCGGCTCTCTACTGCTCCCAGCGCTTGGCTGACAGGAGTAGTGATGCCGCTGTCTCTACTCCTTTCAGCCATATAGTCAGAATGGATTCACACCCATCCCTGCAGTATACAACTGTGCGCAGGGCAGTCACCCCTCCTGTCAATGTCCATAGCAATCATCATTTCTGAAATAAAAAGCAATCAATGTATCGGTGTTCAGCTATAATGTCCTCTTTTGTGATCTACAAAAGGAAATGTGTGAAGGCTCCAAATTTAGGATAATACGGAAACCCCATGCAATTGATTAAATGCTTTCCCCAACTTTAACCATTTGCCACCCGCCCTATGGCCGAATGGCGGGCGGCAAATGTCATCAGCGTTCCAGTTGGACGCCATATGGCGTCCTCCTGCACATATGCAGATCGAGCTTCTGCAGAGCGGCGCGATCTGTCACCGGCTGTGTACCTCGGACACGGCCGATAACAGATCTGAGTATCGGCCCCGTTGCAGGTACCATGTGACCTGCTGTGACCAATCACAGCAGGTCACATGACAGTTGTATACAATGGATGGCTTCATTCATGCCATCAATTGTATACTACTGCCTAGCTGTGAATGGTCACAGCTAATCACATGTCATGTGATTAGCTGTGGCCAAATCACGGCTAAGCACAAAAAAAAAAAAAAAAAGCCCTGAATGAATCAATGTCATTCAGGTAAATGCTTGCTTATAGCAAAGTAATTCTTTGCTATAAGCAAATTGTGTAAAAAAAAAAAAAAAAATACTGATCACTTCCCCAAAGTAGTACAATGTTACTATGGTAACATTGTACTACTTTGGTCATAGTGAAATATGAAAAAAAAAATCTTTAAAAAAAAAGAAAAATAATTTAATAATAAAAAAAAATGTGTAATTTTTTTTTTTTTCAAAATGTCACCAGTCAGTGTCCCTGATCACCGCCATGCCAGTTATATGATGACGCTGTACTGCACTGGTGACAGTATGTAAAAAAAAAGATAGTGAAACTAAATTTATTTTTTTCATTTTCCGAAAAATTATGACAAAAAAAATACAACTTCAAAAAACTCGCCATGCCTCTTATGAAGTACGTCGGACTGTCTGCTTTGCAAAAAGGGGTCATTTGGGGGATATCTGTACTGTTCTGACATTCTTGGACCTCAAGAAATTAGATTGGCTGTCAGTGATCAATATTCAGATCTATACCATAGTTTGTGAACTCTAACTTTCCTACAAACTAAAAAATACATCCTAATTTGGGTTATTTTCACCAAAGACATGTAGCAGAATACATCTTGGCCTAAATTTATGAAGAACAATTATTTATTTGCAAACAGAAACAGAAACAAAGAAAAACTTTTTTTTTTCAAAATTTTTGGTCTTTTTTTGTTAATTTAGCAAAAAAATAAAAACCCCAGCGGTAATTAAATACCACCAAAAGAAGGCTCTAGTTGTGTGAAGAAAATGATAAAATGTTACTTTGGATACAATGTTGTATGACCGCGCAATTGTCAAAGTGTGAGAGCGCTGAAACCTAAAAACTGGCCTGGGCAGGAAGGGGGTAAAATTGCCCAGTATTGAATTGGTTAAGATAACATATGTTTCAAGAAAAATTCCAAACCAAAATCCAGATTACAAAGGAGCAGATCAGTGGCACATACTACATACAACAATGTGGCCTACTTCTGTCCTATTTGGGCATAACCCAAAAGCAGCAACAACTTTAAAATTCAAAAGTGCCTGCAATATTGACTGGGATTACTTTATCCATAACAACTTGATATAAAATAAGGTTCTTTAGCAAGGGACATACATTCCACAATAATATTTACGCTACCAAAATGAGTGTGTACTGTCAATTGCCTCCGCATTGCTCCTGTTTCTTCTTTCTGGAGGCTGCCATTTTGCTGAAGCCCAAAGTAATTATTTATGCTGTCAGCAGATCAGCGTCTGTTGACAGCCCAAAAAGAAATAGAGAGCAATTCAGCATGTGCAGAGCAGGGTGAGACAGTTTGTATTACTGGATTTTAAACAGTATAGGCACAAATGTTTTATGTTTTACATAGCCATGTCTGTAAAAGGGCCCGCATGAAGTCATCTGGCAGGACTTATAGAATATGTAAACCCAACAATTCATATTACTGATATGTGCCTGTTGTACCATGTATTTGTATGAAAAAGTACCCCATTCTCTTTGTATTGCTTCCTATGTTTGAAATCCCTGGAAAAATCTATCTCTATCACCATCTGCTGGTTAAAAAGGATATTTATCAATAAAATTAATGTTAATACAAACCATCCAAGTAAAATACAATACTCTACAAAAAAAACAAACAAAAAACAAATACATATAAAAATACATTTTTTGTTAACCCCCCCCCCCAATTTTTAAATTTCTTCTTATACATTTTAAAATATAAAGCATTTTAAATCCAACTCCACAATTAGACCTCAGGGTTGCATAGCATAAATCCAGTTTATTTAATTCCTGAATGTGTCTCTTATAAGAGTAGAACCCCTCCACTTTTGGAAATCCCTATCTAACCTATAATATTTAATCAAGAATAGGTCTCTTTTATGGTAATCCCTGTAATGTTTAGAAGAACTATGGTTCTTATTTCAAATAAACCCATCTTTGATGAAATTCTATGGAATAGATAAGGTTCCTCACAAAATGGAGAGGTTCAGTGAAAAGAGCAGCATTGGGAAGCCAGGGATGTGCAATTCCTATCGCCCAACAGGGTTTAGAGCAGATGATTGACTCTCTTGTAAAAGTAATCTGAGAGACTAACTAGCTGCTGGATTGCTTTTACAAGCAGCAGGAGGGGATGCTTCCACTGTTTGATCATAGAGACAGACAAAGACGGGAACCGCTCTGTCCGCCTCTATGATAAAGGAAACAGGAAGAGATGAACATACATCACTTTCTGAGTAAAATTGTGCAGCGCTAAAAAACAAATAATTATTAATATTATTATACAGTATTTATATAACGCCAAAGGGTTTGCTCAGCGCTGTACAACAGCAAGGGGAACAGAACACGAGACAGGACAGAAACAATACAATACACGGGGGGTACGAGGGCCCTGCTCTTTTGAACTTACAATCTAGGAGATCTGAATAATATTCAATAAAATGCAGACAGTTCTATTAAAAGTCCATAAAGGAAAAAAAAAATATATAAATATATAAAAAAATATATATTAAAGTTGCAACCCAAGGTTGGTAATATGTTATTCAGCAGTCCATGTGAGCGCCAAACAAATAGTTAAAATGTGCACTCACCAGATACGCATGGATAATGCACAGTATATAAATCAATGAAGATCTGCCCGGAATCCCTCTTTAGGGTGGTACTGGAGAGAACAGCCCAGGGTTGTATTTTATTGAATATCATTCATATTATTTGTTTTTTAACGCTGCACATGTTTACGCATATGTTATTTGAAGGTTTTATGGTTACCTTTTAGTGTACAGCTGCTTTTATTATTACAAGCGCTCACTGATATCTTATATCTACATCACTTTCTGTTTCCCTGGATGTAAATGGTATAATTTAAAAAAATGGAAAGCATTTGATCACACTGATCTTGGTGTGATCAAATGCTGTTAAGGGCAGAGGAGGAATCTGGGGTCTTATTGACTCTAGATCTCGCCATAAAAGAGTACCTGTCACTGCCTATTGCAATAAAAGTGATTAAAAAAAATTTAAACCGACAGTGTAAAATATAAATAAATATATACATTTTTTAAGCACTCCTGTCCCCCTGTGCTCGCATGCAAAGGTAAATGCACATGGCGATGCCACAAGAGTGCAAACAGTGTTCGTCCAACACATGTGAGGTGTCACCGCGAATGTCAGATCATGGGCAGTAATTCTAGCACCAGACCTCCTTTGTAAATCTAAAGTGGTAACCTGTAAAGGCTTTTATAGCATCGCCTATGGATAGTAACATTCACATCGTTTGTTGCTGTTGCACGGGCATGCACAATTTTAAAGCCTGACATATTTGGTATCTCTTCACTTGGCAAAACATCATCTTATATTTTTTACCAGAAAAACTGGGTTATGTATTGTGTTTTTTGCATTAAAATTAAAAAAAATTAAAAAGAAAAAATACAAACAAAAAAAAAAAAGCTGTGCAAATACCGTGATACCGTGTGACATAACAAATTGCAACACCCACCAATTTATTCTCTACAGCCTTTGATTTAAAAAAGTATATATTGTGTGGGGGTTCCAAGAAATTTTCAAGCAAAAAGTAAAAAACATTAAAAGATTAAGTCGCCATAGAGCCCCTTTCATTTTTAAAAGCTCCAGACATTCCTAAAAGCACCACTGTCTAATAAAAAAAAAACATCAACCCTTTAGATTTTCCATCCTGGCAAAACTTATTTCTTTTTTTTATCATGATAAGTAGATTGAGATCCTGATTTAGTCCTTTGGACCAACAGTTTTTTTAAAAAAAATTTCCACACCCCTAGAAGCAACCTATAGTAGACAGATTCTGATTCATCTGTTTAGAATAGGCAGAACAATACATCTGACCGTTAATACCTGATTTCCTCCTCAGGGCTGTGGTACTTCCATTGGATTGGTTCAGATGTGGGAGTATATACATCATCAAATGAGGAAAGGGAAAAGTCCACGTGTACTCTGTGAAATGGGGTCACTCTGCTGGCCTGCACAAAGAAATGATAGCGTTTAACTAAAACAATTTCATCTTTAGTGATCAGCTTATACAAGAACTCTTCAAGGTTTCAAAAGTTTACCAAATGTTTGGACTGTTGGTTTAGGAAATGATAAATAGAAATATTAAATGATCAGGGAAAATCTTAAATTATTTAAATATATAAAACCAAAGAGATTAATATCCCAAAACCAAAATCCCATCCATGTCCACACTAATGGTCCTAAAAAACATTAGATGTGTTCACATTGTTGATTGTCCGGTAAAGCTTGTTCCATCACCAAGGGCTCCCACACTTTTCTACACAAAACTGGCATACCCTTTTAAATAAATATATTTATTTATTTTAAGAATATAGTTTTATTAAGGAGTTTGGCACTTTAACAGTCAAACAGATAAGTGAACAAGTGCCTAAAACTGTGACAATGACGATACAGTCGATAACAGAAATAAATATCCTAGAAATAACTATGAAAAGTCATAACTAACTCTGATAGAACATATAAACATCAACAATCTCCCAGCAGGTACGAGCTCATGCGTCCACTTGATTGGCATTATTATTCCACAAATCAGGCACCTTACTGGGCTCAGCCTGACAAAAATAAAAAAGTTATTTAAAAAATAATCCAGGTGGACAGTCCTGCATGTACCACATTTTTAGCTTACAAAAGGAAGGGGGGGGGGGGGGGTAAGTGAATAGTACCAGAATTAGTGTGAAGTAGAGAAGGGGGGAAAAAGGGGGAGGGGGCAAGGCTATGAATGCCTAACTGCTCAAAAAGGGCAAACGCTCAGGGGAGTCAGAAAATTCGAGCCTTGGAAACCACAAGTCCCAAATCTTAGAGTAGTTTTCATTGGCCATGGCCATGAGTTACTCCGTGCATTTCATATGGTTTAGTATAGCGATCCATTCCCTGGATGGTGGGTGTCATGGGTGATTTCCAGTGTCTGGGAATTAAGGCAGGACCTGCCATGACCAGGAAGCAGAATATTTAATGCGTCTAATTAAGCCTGGAATCATGGAGAGAAGAGATTTGGTGTCTTCAGCCATGCCCTACTCATAATAAGGCGTTTCTAATGAAATATGTCCACCCAGTCCGGCTGGATTTTGGGACAGGACCGCCGTATATGAAGATGTGTACCATCTGGCTCTCCACACTATATCAGATAGTGTTGGAATAATTTTGTGAACAAATGTATTTCTAATACATTTCTAATGTCAAACTATGAGCAAAAAAAAAAATCCACAAAGTAATCTGCCACTAGCAATTAACTGAGCAGTTTTTGCTTTTCTTATTCCCCCTTGTAACAGATCCATTTACAGTATGTTCTACTTCAATAACAGGGTAACAACGCTATTCGCTCTGCAAAGAAATCACAGGAACATTGTCAACCTATGGACAGGATAGTCTTGGATTCAGTGCAGTGCAGGAGTGACTTCTCATAGGATCTTGAGCCCCCAGCTCTCCCCGCAAACGGAGGTGAAGCATTCAGATGTAACCTGCTCCTGAGGTACTCAGGTTTTGAGGTCACCCTTTTTATTTTTTTTTCTTAAAATGTTATTTTTTTTATCACTATCTATGCACATTTTTTAACACAGATGGTGAAGTTTTTCATCTAAGCAAACCTTCCATTTTTATGGACGTTCCTTTTGAAATAGTGAAGTAAGGATGACAATGGCAATCTCATAGCTTGCAGAGCGGCTAATAAGTTCCCCGAAGGTCATGCTTTATTTGAAATCCAGTTGCAAAGTTTCGGGTAGAACAGTGGCTTAGGGGTCCTTGGTTCAAATTTCGACCAGAAATCTATCTTCATGTTCTCCATGTCCCTGTGTAGGTTCCCTTCCACACTGAAGACATGCTGGTAGTTTAATTTGCTCCAGTCTAAATTGGCCCTAGTATGTGTATATAATTTGTCATGCACATGTGCTATCACATTCTACATGACAGTCCCAGCTGAACAATTGGAAAGGGCTGACAACAGACCTGACAACCCTACCTCGTAAAAACTAGCCAAGAAAAGTCTATGAAAAAGGGTCTCAAGGAAGCTGGCCCATAGAATCACAAAGAGTCAGATACAAATAAACAAGTGTATACATACATAAAGTGTTGGTGAGTGAATAAGTAGTTTAATACTCAAAAGTGCTGCATTGGGGGGCGCTCATGAGCAGCGACTGAAAATGGCTGCATTATCAGGCGCTCTCCTCGCCCATATACTGACTCCCAGGAGGGTAAGCTGCCCGCCCACTACACTCCCCCAAATCGCTGCTTGATAAACATTAATATCAAATTCATAACTCGGCACTTATATTGATGGCAAGCTTGCAAAATATTTGGCTTTTATGATTAATCATGATTAATATTAAAATGTGTGAATGGCCTTGAACCAGTGATAGTGTTAATTTCAGTTATAGCTGAGACAGGAGTTAGCTGAGCTAACCAGCTGAGAGCGAAATTATTATATAAAAAGGCATAGCTGGTTAAAGGACTGTAGTGTAGAATGTCATGGAGTCAGGAGTAACCAAAATATTTAGTTTGTTTTATAAGTTATTAATATATTGTTACATACGTAGATTTTTGGTTATACAACATTATTGAGATATTATGTTGTAAAGATACATTCTTAGTTTATATTATTTAAACAGAGAGACCGGTCATATGAGTAGGCTGATGCAACATTGTCAGCTTCAACTTATGCAGCCAATACATATGGGCCTGTCAATCAAAAGACCATATATGTAGTGTCCCCTCCCTTCAATGAAATTGCTCTGCTAAGCAGTATTGTTTGCCATACAAGGTTCTAGGATCCCGAATTATGACGCATACAAGCTTCATAAAAAGGCAACCGAAGAGAGCGCTGGACACTCACACGACACACATACACACATACACATGTCCATCAATTCACACAGACACGCACAAGCAAAGCATGGAGACACTGTCGTTCTTCACATTCTGAGAAGCTGGAACAGGTGCATTCTCTAAGACAAGAACTCGTCACTTCCGTCTTGCTAAAAGCTCAGAAGGACAACCATTACAAGACATGAAGGACAATCAGCCATGAAAATAATGGTGACACATCTTTATAACTTCTGTTTTGATATTTCTGTTTTAACTACACGGAACTGTTCATGATACGCTTTACATTGTGATTTTATTTTATCACACAATGGCTTAAAATAACACTTTATTTTTTATGTCACCGGCTCTTTAATTATTCGCAAAATCGCCTATAGACACTAAAGAAGTTTTACATGTGTCTCAGAAAATTCTACACTGCTGTACACCCGCACAAATGGGGGAAAAAAAACAGGGGCCGCCCGCCCTTCCAGTGCTTGGCAATCCGTGCCGGAGCTTGTGGCCTACTTGCCGACGGTTGTCCCTGGAGCCCCGGCCTCAATTTCGGATCCGCCGCCTCGGATGAATGATCTGGACCCCGCCTATGACACAGACTCTGCATCAGAGGGACCCCTGCAGCCCTCCGCACCGGCTCTTCGAGATGTTGAGCTCCTAGATCGCTTTAAATCTATGCTGCAGATGGAATTGTCCTCTGCTACTTTCAGGCTAGCAGAGCATCTCTCTAGAGAAATTACGGAGCTGGGCAATCGTACGAATGATCTTGAGGATAAAATGGATGCTGCGACCACGATGATTGAAAATCATGAGCAAGATCTGAGCGACCTAAGAAAAGAATTGGCGGACACGCTGCTCTGGCTGGAGGACTTTGAGAACCGTTTCTGTCGTGGCAACTTGCGCCTGCGGGGTATTCCTGAAACTGTTACGGATCTCACTTCCACCGCCACTGCCCTGTTCCAGGAGCTGACCCCGCCATCCCCATCGACCGACTTGTGTTTGACTGAATACATCAAGCATTGGGCCCCTGATGGCTGGAGGGGCCCCCAAAGAGACATTATTATCAAGTTTATGCATTATTGCACTAAGGCAACTATTCTCTTGGTGGCCAGGAATAACCAGATGTCAGTTTCCCGGGGCATCGCTAACAGCTTTTTTCAGATCTCTCCCAGATCATGCTCCAGAAATGTTGCCAGTTGAAGCCCTTCACTTCAGTCCTGCTGAATCAAGTACGCATGGGGCTTTCCATTCTGCCTCACTTTCGATTATCAAGGCTGTACCCACTCTGTTGCCACGCCAGAAGAAGCTCATTCTCTTCTGGAATCCTTACACCTTATCCCGCCGGGAGGCACAGTGCAGAGCCTGGCGCATTCTTCTGGATCCCGGGCGGGGCTGCCTCCTCTGGGTTGCCTCTGGGAGAAGACATCTAGCCGGAAGAGGGCCCTCCCTCGGACTCCCCTACGTTCCAGTCCAACCTGCTCCTCACCAGGCTGGTGTCCAGGACTTCCTCCATTGTGCCACATCGTTGATTTATTATTATGGGACCGTAAGTTTGACCTTCTGGCTGTTCCTGAGTCCAAATTTGGGTAAGGAGTCATCCATTGGACTTGAGCGCCGAGACTTTCCACCACTGCAGAACACCAAGGGTCCAGGGTGAGTGCAATATGATTTGTGGGGGTGGTTTGGGCCGATGGTTCCCTTGGGTTCTGTAGAGGGAGGTTAGCTCAAGTGGGCCCTTATTCAATACCATGCTGATGGTCTTGTTGGGGTGCTGAGGCAGGGGACTATCTGGGCTGAGTTGGTTGGGTTTCGGTATGGTCTGTTGTCATCCCCTCGGAAAGGGTTGGGTCCCTACACCTAACTGGGTTTCTGGCGGGAGGGCTTCCATGGGTGTGTTCCCTCTTCGAAGGACTCCTATCTCTATTGACGTGGGTTTCAGTTATGTTTTTGACCATTTCATGTTCTATGTTGTTGCCTTATTGTCCCCTGGGGGCCGATGATTTTGATGTATCTATTTTCAGCCATGTGTCCGGTGGTAGATCCACCCCAAACTGGTATTCTTTGAGTAAAGGATGCATTTCACCATAGTTGTGATATGGCTATGCCATTGTACATATTCTTTGTGTTTCCTTTTCTTCTGCTCTTCTTATCTTCCCCCCTTTCCTGGTTTTTCTGTTTCTATTTTCTGCAGGGTTTCGGGATGCCATGGACTAAGCAATGGAGCGGATTAATGGAACAATAGAGTGTATTACACTGATCCTGCCATGGCTTCGCCCCTCTTAAAAGTACATTCATAAAATGTACAAGGTTTTAATGTGGCTCAGAAGTCTTTCTAAAGTTTTTCATCACCTTAAATCGCAACACATTGACGTGGTATGCCTGCAGGAAACCAGGTTTTCCCAGTGCTCTGCCCCGTGGTATCTTTTGCCTCGTTATCCCACTTTTTACACAGCCTCGGCTCCTGAGAAACGACGGGGTGTTCTGATAGCCTTCAAATGCAATCTCCACCTGTGTCTGGAATATAGCGGATCCCATGGGCAGGTATTCACTTTTGCAGGGCACGCTTTGGGATCAGGAGGTCATCTTTGTTTCCTATTATGCCCCTAATCGCTTTCAGTACACATTTTTCACGCATCTTTGTTCTATCATTTCCTGACACTCCAAGGGCCTTCTTCTTTTGGGAGATTCAACTGTTACCTTGGATTCCACTCTAGATAGGCGCTTTACTTGGGGGGTGGCCTCTTCTCACAACTTGGCGCATGAAGAACGCATGCACTCACTCCTGCAGTCTGCGGGACTGGTAGACGTTTGGAGGCAACTTCACCCTGCTGAGCGTGACTTTATGTTCTACTCCAATCCTCATGACAGTTTCTGCAGAACTGACCATGTATTTATGCAGGTGCAACAGCTTCCTTTAGTCAGGCTATTATCTATCCTTTCTTTGCCCTAGTCGGACCATGATCCCCTGGTTTTACTTCTCACAATTTCGGGTATGACACGGCGCTCCTTTCATTGGTGTATTAATGAATCCTTATTGACCACTCAGATCACCTGTCAGCAAAATGAATCTGTAATACGGACGTACTTTGCGGACAACTCAGGATCGGTTTCTTCATCAATGCCCCTGTGGGAGGCACACAAAGTTACAAAGCGGGGCCACCTCATACAGCTGGCTGCACCTCGGATGAGGGTGCGTCGCCTTTTGGAACTTCATTCTCTTCTGGCCTTGGCAGATGCTCGTTGGAAGTCACACCCGTCCGCGGCCCATAAACGTGCATGAGACACCTTGGCTGCAGAATTAGACCTACTTGCGTCTTCGGAAGCTGAACGGGCCTTGTGTTGGACCAAACATAAGTTTTATATCTGTGCTAATAAGCCAGGTCCGATGCTAGCTAGGAAACTCAATTCTGTGGGGAAACCCTATAAACCGGTCCAGTTGCGGCTCCCAGCGGGGGGTTGTACTTCCAATCCCCAGCAGATCGTCTCACACTTTTTGGACTTCCTTTCGCACCTGTACGCCAACCCAACCCCTTTCCTGTAGCTCAGGCGGAAGCGTTCTTTCAGGATCTATGGCTCCCTGGCTTGTTGGAAGTGGTGCAGGTAGCACTTAATGCGGGTGTATCTGTATCGGAAGTTCTTCAAGCCATCAAATCTTTATGGTCCTCTTCAGCCCCGGGTCCCGAAGGCTTTTCAGGCCTCTATTACAAGAAATTTGCAACCCTGTTGACGCCCTTCTTGGCTAGGTATTTCAATTAATTATGACAGGGCTCTTTGCCCTCTCCAGATGCGCTCAGAGCTCATATCTCAATGATCCCTAGGACAATGGAAGACGTGCAGGAACGTGCATTTCACTTCCTAATAAAGATTTAAAGATATTGGGCAAGATTCTCAGTCTTTGGATCAATAAATATTTGCGTAGCCTGGTCCCTAGGGACCAAGCAGGTTTCTTCCCGGGGAGGCAGGTGGGCGACAATGTTCGCCTTTTGCAACAGTGGAAAATTCTGGGATTTTTACAGTCATTGGACATATATAAAGCTTTCGGTTCCTTATCCTAGGAATACCTGCGGTTTTTGTTGTCCTGCTGGGGCTTTGGGGATTCTATCCTTTCTTGGATTCAGGCCTTGTATTCTTCCCCTTTGGCCTCGTTTAAGTATGCAGGGTATATCTTGGATCTCTTTCCAATTTGGTGAGGGATGAGACAGGTATGTCCCCTGTCTCTGGCACTATTTGTCCTGGCGCTTGAGCCATTGGCCTTGGTACTCCTCTCACTAATCCTTGGACGATGCTCCCAAACTTGAAACAGGTTCTTGAGCGTTTCTCCTTGATTTTGGGTCTCCATATAAATTTGGATAAGACTTTCGCTCTCAATATCACCTTGGCCTCAGATTTGGTTTTGCACCTACAGTCCCATTTTCCTTACAAATGGGCTTCATCTTTGCTGGAACATTTGGACATTCACCTGACCCCCACCTATGACTTTTTGTTTGCTGCAAACTATTTTTCATTGCTTTGCTCCTTGTCCTCTCTCATGCGCTCTTGGCACTTCCCACTCTTGTCTTGGATAGGATGAGGTAATTAGGTGAAAATGACCAAAATTGTTATACTATCTTCGCACCCTTCCAGTTATTTCCTTCGGCTGATTCAGATGAGGATTATTCAAGTTATCTGGGCTGACTGCTGCCCCAGAATCTCCAGAAATATGCTTATTGTTCATAGGCTGCAGGGAGGTCTGTCTATACTGCACGCTCCTATGGATCCCCCCTGCTTTACGCCCGAAGACACTGAGTCCAATTTTGCTCCATGGCCTGCGCGTATGGGACTTGGTCTCCTCCTCTAGTGGCTTGATGTCACCCTTTCTACCTCTGCTCCCAATTACTAATAACCCTCTTTTTCTGCTGGGTTTAGATTAACCCTCTCTTTGTGGGTGGCTAATGGCTTTTCGCAGGTGCGCCATGTTTTGATTCCTCGGTCTTTCCCCACCTGGAATTCTCTTAGGGAATCACGGGATGTTCCCCAGGCGGAATTTTTTTGTTATCTTAAATTGCAGCATTGGCTAACCTCATTGTGTGGTACCTCCGCCTTTCCATATCAGAAATCTGCCTTTGAACAGCTTTGCCAACAGCTTCCTGGCGCCCCAGGTCTTGTTTTCCTACTCTATGCTTCTTTGAACAGATGCTCAACGCATACTTTGTTTTTGTGGGCAACTAAAATGATTGCTCAGGCCTGGAAGAATACATCTGTCCCTCTTCAGTCCACTTTAATGCTTAATGAACAGATATCGAGTATCCATAATGCCTTCCATCGCAAATTTTTGAAAATCTGGGAGCCGTGGTTGACATATGCTTTTCCCACGCTGCCCCCGGCTAGTCTGGGTCTAGGTGTTCCTGGATCCCTGCTGTTGGCCTTGTCTTCTTCTTTCCTTCCTCTTCTTTCCTTTTTGTATTTGTCTTATTTTTGTGAGGCGGTAGAGATATGCTTTTGGTTCATTGCACTGGTAAAGCTATAACATTGGATTTATTTTTTGTATTTTATGTGCCATTGATAGCCCCTGCGTGGGTGTGCCTTTTGCTTCAACGTTTAAAATCAATAAAAACATTGAAATACAAAAAGTGCTGCATGAGAATTGATTCCTTACCGATATACACCGTGAGGATGTGTGGGCTCTGTAGCTACGGACATCTTCCAAGTCTAATGTGGCTGTGAGGACCTCCTGTCAAAATAGAATTGGAAAACGATCAGCTAATCCTATTTTTGTTGTTTTTTTTTTTTCTTTATTTTACATACTGATGGATAAAAATTTGGTGAGAGAGAGAGAGAAGACAGAATGACGAAAGAGAAGGGTGGGGGGGGATGATGGAGAAAGAAAGAGATGAGATAGAACAAGAAAGAAATAGGGGGAGAGAGAGAGAGAATACATAGAGAAAAAGAGAGAGAGAGGATGGAGAAAGAAAAAAAAGAGAAGAAAGAGAGGTGAGAAAGAAAGAGAGAGGGATAATATACAGTATATATCCACACAGCAACTATATAAATAAATAGATAAAGATGAGAGAGGTGACAGAAAAGAGAGATGATATAGCAAAAGAAAGACAGAGATGATATATAGAGAGGGGTGATAGAAAGACGAAAGAGATGATAAAGAGAACGTGATATAGATTAAGATGACAGACAGAGATGATAGAGAGGGAGGAATGATAAAGAGAAAGATAGAGGATATAAACAGATGAGAGTGAGGAATGATGAAGAGAGAGACATAACAGAAAGATGACAGAGATAAATATAAAGAGATGGGGTTTGATGTACTGAAACCGGAGAATTGTTCAATAAAACCTGGAAGCTGATTGGTTTCTATCCAGAGCTGCTCCAGATTTTGCACTCTCCAGTTTGAGTAAATCAGCCCCAGAGGCTATTCAGGAAGCAGCACAGTCTCTAACACAATGAAGAAAGATTTATTCAGAAACCCCAAAAAGTTCCTAAATATACCTTTTTCACTGCATTCCCGAATATCTTTTCTAAGTATTATGAATTGCTAGCGTCTGCCTGAAGCTTGTTAGCATAATCTTTTTTTTAGTTATTGCCATTACTTGCGACTTCCCCTGGAGCCACTTTGTTTTCTTCAAGTTATTACACATCAATAGATTGGTAACTGTAAATGAACTGCACTTACCACATTTTGTAAAGAAAACTGAACGCCCTGTGCTACAATGTCTCCATTGATGGATATCATAGCACAACCATCAAAATAAAGCCGGTCACTGTCACAGCCTCTGAGATTGGAGAGTAAATAGATCCCACCATTCTGTAAATGAGAGTAAAGATGTTAAAGTGGGTGAATGTTAAAATAAAAAAACATATTCACACTGCAAGAAAAAGATAGTACAAGCACTGAGTGATATGAAAGCAGCAGTAACCCCAATGTGTAGGCGTGGGGCTGTAACCCCAATGTGTAGGTGTAGGGCTGTAACCCCAGAGTGTAGGTGTGGGGCTGTAACCCCAGAGTGTAGGTGTGGGGCTGTAACCCCAGAGTGTAGGTGTGGGGCTGTAACCCCAGAGTGTAGGTGTGGGGCTGTAACCCCAGAGTGTAGGTGTGGGGCTGTAACCCCAGAGTGTAGGTGTGGGGCTGTAACCCCAGAGTGTAGGTGTGGGGCTGTAACCCCAGAGTGTAGGTGTGGGGCTGTAACCCCAGAGTGTAGGTGTGGGGCTGTAACCCCAGAGTGTAGGTGTGGGGCTGTAACCCCGGAGTTCACCTTCTATCAATTTAGAACACTCAACACACAGAAACATACCATCTGATTGATTGCTATGGATAATGCAGGTTGGTCATTGCTATTTTCCTTTTTAGAATACCCCTTAATATGCTAATGCTTTTTATGGGATTTCTAAAAGGATATTTCACCTAAAGATGCAATTCACTCAAATAGAACATACTTTTGTGGTTGTAGATTTGACAAGATCTACACGTAAGTGGGCTTTTCTCAGCTCATGATGACTTCCAGAAGCATTTGTAAATATCTCTACACCGTCCAGGCCCATATCAATGTGAGGACTACAAGACAAGCAATGGATTAGTCAAATATTATTGCTCCACATTTATACATCTGTCAGTATATTCTGCACCACTTTATGTTTTGCATCACCTAGATTGTAAGCTCGAAAGAGTAGAGCCCTCTAACCCCTCATGTGCTGTTTGTAGTTGCTGTACTGTTTCATGTATTGTCCCCCCCCTCTATTGTACAGCGCTGAGCAAACCCTTTGGCACTATATAAACTCGATGTAATAATAATAATAATAATGTTGCCTATTCATATCAACATTTTCCCTGCTTTTAATCTAATGTCCGTGCCACACTGCTAAAACCACGCACTCTGTCCTGTTTGTTTATGATTCAGACAGGGATGTTTTATTAAATCAGTGGGTCAGTGTGCAGGATCATAAGCTGGGCCCAGACAAAAAGAAAATGTGACGCACGTAGCGCGCGCCATGGCAAAAAGTGGGTGTGGATTATATTGCGCTAAATATTGGGCACTTTTTAAAAAGTGTGGATAATTAGAGTCCGATATTACTTACATAGTGCAGAATGTAGTATTGTTGAACAGGGAATGTACAATGCAGTATACAGAATAAGGGGGCATGTATGACCCCACTCCATTCACGTGTGTGCTACATAAAGAGTGCAGAGTTCAGAAGTGTGCTATGTACAGAATACAGAGTTCAAGGGTGCACTATGTACAGAGTGAAGAGTTCAGGAATGTTATGTACAGAGAGCACTATGTACAGAGCGCAGAGTTCAGGAGCATGCTGTATACAGAGTGCAGATTTCAGAAGATCACTATGTACAGAGTGCACAGTTAAGGAGAGTGTTATATACAGAGTGCAAACAGATGGGATCACAGAGGGTGCCACCTACCATGCGACACCCCCCTCCCACACATGACGCGCTGCTCCCCAGGACACCTGCATTATCTTGTCCCCATACTGAGTGCAGGGCAGGAAGGAATCAATGAAAGCTGCTGGGAGAGGTAAGCTGTCACTTCTAAACACTGTGTTTAGAAGTGACAGTGGTGAGTGGGAGCAGAGGGCTAGAGCTGAAGGTTGCAGAATAGAGTTCTGCCACATTCTGGCTGAACCCCCCGAGTAATAGTATACAATGCAAACACTGTCAGCAGCCATGTGAATGATACAGCCAAGGCGCTGGTGGTCATTATCAAAATGATGATCACACAGTAAAGTTTGTGTCTTACTGAACTGTATACAGGCTGTACAGTTTAATCATCATCATGATAATCACAGGTGATGTGCCTGTAAAATTCACTCCCTCCTCATTGGCTTACCTTTACATAGGCTATCCCCCCTCCAGTCCATCATGAATGCTGCTGCCAGGCTCATCCACCTTACCAACCATTTAGTGTCTGATATCCCTCTCTGCCAATCCCTGCATTGGCTGCCATTAACCCAACTAATTAAATTCAAAATACTAACAACTTACAAAGCCATCCACAACTTGGCCTCCAGCTACATCACTAACCTAGTCTCAAAATAACAACCAAATTGCTCTCTTCATTCTTCCTAAGACCTTCTGCTCTCTAGTTCCCTTGTCACCTCCTTTCATTCATGCCTCCAAGACTTCTCCCATCCTATGCAATTCTCTACCCAAATCTGTCCAGCTATCTCCTACTCTGTCCACTTTTAGGCAATCCCTGAAAACTTTTCTCTTCAGAGAAGCCTATCCTGCCTCCACCTAACAACTGTACTTGTATTTTCTCCATCAGCTCATCCACCACAATTATTACCTTTCATATTACTTGATCCTCCCCTTTTAGATTGTAAACACTAACGAGCAGGACCCTCCGATTCCTCCTGTATTGAATTGTATTGTAACTATACTTTTTGCCCTCACATTGTAAAGCGCTGCGCAAACTGTTGGCGCTATATAAATCCTGTATATTAATAATAATAATATCTTCATGCTTCCAAATGTATTGCACTGCATGCAACATTTAAGTGAGAAGAAAGAGACCAACTACAGGGCAAACACAATTTAACAACTGACCATATACCAAGGGCTTGAACTACAGTTTTCTAAAAAAAATCATTCATTTTTGAATGTGTCCAGTGATGTAGGAATGGACATATGGATAAGATATCTCATGTTTAGGCTTTGCTATGCGGCCATTCTACACCCCCCCCCACTCCACCCATCAGAATACACTGATCAGTGCTGCAGCGGCAGAATACTGGTTTTTCAGCAGGATCGTTTGACAGAAGCTGTAATAACGGTTAGCTTCTGTTGAACAAAGAGGGAGGTACACGGCTTAAAATTTGGGCAATTTCTGCTGAACCGGCCGAATATCTATACATATATACATATTAACATTGCCTACCATCTCTGCTCTGACAGGGAGAAAATACAACTGAATAACTGCATAATTATATTTATCCCTAAAGGGTAGACCTGCAGGTGTATAATAATGTAACTAAGGTTCTTAGAAAAATCATTTATGTTTTTATATCTGAGAATATTATTATCTATTCCAGGGAAAGTTATACAGATTGTTAAAGTGGAGCTTCAATGCTTGCAATTTTTTTTTCTTTTTTGGTACAGGTACCTTTCTTTTAAATAAAAAAAAAAAAAATACCCACCACTTCCAGCCTTGTTGATGTAGCGATATGTCACCCATGGTGTTTCGTTGACTCCTGGGATATCGGTGTCATCGATCCCAGGAGTCAATGGGCATCCTCTGCTTTTGTCATTACTTTATTTCAAAAACGAAAATTACACAATCCCAGACAGAGTTAGGCTCCATTTTTGAATGAGGGACTCACTAGTAGTGAGTCCGCATAGAGCAGCAGCAGTAAACAAAGGTGGTATTGGTGCATTGTGATTTGTGACAGAGCTCTGTGATGGGGACACCCGATGAGCTTGAGCGCTGTGATAGACTGTCAAATTGGTTGTCCCCACCACAGTGTTCTGCTCCAATACATTACATATCCATATATCATCAGAGTGCCCCTTTAAAAGCAATGTAAAGGGGTACTCTGATGAGAACATGTAATGTAAAGGGCACTTTAATGCAGGTGTGCAATGTAAAGGGGCACTCTAATGAGGATGTATACTATAAATGGGCACTCTGATGATGACATGCAATCTAAATGGATGCATATGTGAGAGTATCCTCATTCAACTTTTCTCGTTTTAATCTTTTCTTTAGCTCCCTATTTATTTATCTTGCTTTCTTTATCCCTTCCTTTCATTCTCTATATCTTTATCTTTTTTTTATTTCTATTTATTTCTTTCTCTCTCTCTGTCTGTCTTACTCTATATCCTGTTAACTGAATTTCTTTTATTTCTGTTTGTTTTTAATTTTGTACAAAGTACAAAAAATATTAATAAAAACAAATATTCTCATTAATCTAGATTTGGCAGACCAGAAAATTCTTCCCATTTGAGAACATTTCTTCTCGGGTAAGTCAATATAAAGATTAGCCCTTGTTTTCTATCACTTTCTCTATTCCCCCCCCTCCTCCCCCCCTTATTCTCTCACTCTCTAGCTCATTCACTCTCTATTTTCTCTCTCTCTTGCTTTCACTTTCTCTCTCTCTCTAGTCGTCTGTCTTTTTTTTCTCTATCACTTTCTGACTTTCTAATTTTTTTAATCTTTATATGAAGGTTCCTTTTATGCTTTTAAGAAGAAAGTAATTTAGCATGATTTTGAAATAGTTTACGTAAATATAATTTTTTATTTTATCGTCATAATAGATTTAGAATACCAGAAAAGTTGAAGATTTCCTGAAAATTCATCCCTGTAGACCTATTTTCTTCACAGGTAACTAAATTAAAAAAAAAACAACTCTCTCCCTTTGCGCCACCCCCCCCCCCCCCCCCCCCCCCCCAATAATATTTTAATTGTAAGTACTACTCTTACTTTCCCTGTCAAAAAATATTTAGAAAAAAAATTAAAATTTTATGTTATTAAAACAGAGTTCCATCCAAAAGGGGAAGTTCCGCTTTAATGCTTTGTCCCCTGCAAACAATTAAGGATTGGCACCTTTGGGGAGCAGGGGGGCAGCGGGTACCCGTATTTGATGCCCCCTCCCACGTCTGCTGTGATCTCCTAGGACAGGGGTAGGCAACCTGTGGCTCTCTAGCTGTTGTGGAACTACATTTCCCATGAGGCATTGCAAAGATTACAAAACTGACAGTTACAGCTATGACTTGCAGAGGCATGATGGAAATTGTAGTCCTGCGGCTCTCAGGTTGCCTACGAGAACGGAAGCGGAAGTTGTCCTCCCTCCCCGTAGTCTTCTGGGACACGTGACTGGTCCCACAAGACTAGGGGCCATTCACAAAGTGCAACGCTTCTCGCGCGCATACGCAGTGGGCACCTGGCTGTGAAGCAGCAAGCTGTCACAGTCGGGTGCCCACACTAAAGATGGCGGCACCATGGAGAGAAGACGGCCGGTGAAACCAGCGGTGGTGAGGACACCGCTGGACCGAGGGACAGGTAAGTGACTATTTTAAAAGTCAGCAGCTACAGAGGACTGAATTCTAAGACACCCCAAAAGTCAAAGTGAAAAAATGATGCAGCAGACTAGTCCATTTTGCTGAAATTTCACTGCAGCAACTCAAAATGGTACTCAGTCGTTTGTATGGCCCCCACATGCTTGCATGCATGCCTGACAACGTCAGGGCATACTCCTAATGAGATGACAGATTGTGTCCCTGGGTATTTCCTCCCAGATCTGGACCAGGGCATCACTGAGCTCCTGGACAGCCTGAGGTGCAACCTGGTGGCGTCGGATGGACCGATACATGTTATACCAGAGGTGTTCTATTGGATTTAGGTCAGGTGAGCGTGAGGGCCATTCAATGGAATCAATTCCTTCATCCTCCAGGAACTGCCTGCATACTCTTGCCACATAAGGCTGGGCATTGTCATGCACCAGGAGGAACCCAGGACCCACTGCACCAGCGTATGGGTCCAAGGATTTCATCCTGATACCTAATTGCGGTCAGGGTGCCATCGTCTAGTCCTGTAGAGGTCTTTGCGTCTCTCTATGGATATGCCTCCCCAGACCATCACTGATCCACCACCAAAACGGTGATGCTGAACGATGCTACAGACAGCATAACGTTCTTCACAGCTTCTCCAGACTCTTTCACGTCTGTCACATGTGCTCAGGGTGAACCTGCTCTCATCTGTGAAAAGCACAGGGTACCAGTGGCGGACCTGCCAATTCTGGTGTTCAATGGCAAATGCCAATCAAGCTCCATGGTGCTGTGCACTGAACACAGGGCCCACTAAAAGATGTCAGGCCCTCAGGCCACCCACATGTAGTCTGTTTCCGATTGTTTGGTCAGAGACATTCACACCAGTGGCCTGCTGGAGGTCATTTTGTAGAGCTCTGGCAGTGCTCATCCTGTTCCTACTTGCACAAAGGAGCAGATACCGATCCTGCTGATGGACCTTCTACGGCCTTGTCCAGCTCTCCTAGATTAACTGCCTGTCTCCTGGAATCTCCTCCATGCTCTTGAGACTGTGCTGGGAGACACAGCAAACTTTCTGGCAATGGCACGTATTGATGTGCCATCATGGAGGAGTTGGGCTGTCTGTGCAACCTCTGTAGGGTCCAGGTATAGTCTCATGCTAACAGTAGTGACACTGACCCTAGCTAAATGTAAAACTACTGAAAAAACAGTCAGAAAAGATGAGTAGGGAAAAAATGTCAGTGGCCTCCACCTGTAAAACCATTCCCGTTTTGGGGGTTGTCTCATTGTTGCCCATCTAGTGTACCTGTTTTGTTAATTTAACACCAAAGCAGCTGAAACTGATTACCAACCCCCTCTGATATGTAACTGACCAGATCAATAGCCCAGGAGTTTAATTGACTTGATGCTATAGTCTGCGCAAAAAAATTAAAGGAACACTTTTTAATCAGTGTATTTTCACTCTCTTCAATATTTAATTCTCCCAATCGCTCTCTCTCTCTCACTTTTCCTTTCTTTCTTTGTCTATTTCTCTTTCTTTATTATTTTTTTCTCTTCATTTATGTTATATTTTGTACAATTAATTTTTATGCCCTAAAGAGTAACCAGTTTTCTTTCTCTCTCTCTCCCCCCCCCCCCCCACTCTCTCCTCCCCTTTCACTCTCTCCTCCCTTTTCACACAATTTTTTTTTTGCTCATTCTTTATTTTGTTTTTTTTTTCTTTTTTACCTTCTTTATTTTGTTCCTTTTTTTTTTCTTTCACGCTTTGTCCATTATGGTATGTTTTGTTGGTATACTTTTTCTGCCCTAATGAATATTGTCATTTTTTAATTTCTTGTTCTTACATTTCTAGTTTTGAGATTCACGAGGACAACAGGATTTGCAATATAGCAGTCCTTTTTGAATATATTTGAGCTTATATTTTCTGGTTGGGGATTTAAACTAAATGAGAATACTTTCTATTTCTTTTATCTTTCTCTCTTGTTCTCTCTTTCTTTCCTTTTTTTCCTAATGTACTCTTTTTCTCTTGTTATCACACTCTCTTTCTTTTTCTACCACTCTCTTTAATTCTTTTCTCTTGTTCTTTTAAAATTTTTCTATTTCTCTGTCATTTCTTCTCTCTATCGCTCCCTCTTTCCCTTCTCACTCTCTCCCTCTCTTTTGATCTTTCCCCCCCTCACAATCTCCCTCTGTCTATACTCTCTGTCTCTTCTCCTCTCTCTCTCTCCTTCCCTATCCCTCCCTCTTTTTTGCTCTTTCCCACTCTTTCCCCCTCTAGTGCTCGCTCTCTTTCCCTCCCTCCCTCACGCTTTCCGTCCCTCCCTCTCCTGCTCTTTCATTCCCTCTCTCTTGCTCTTTCCCTCTCTCACATTTCCACGTTTTCTACCTATTCCTTTTTTTTTTTATTTTTATGTCTCTTTTATCATCCACCGCCTTCCCTTCTTATCAACGTGTCTTCAATTATTACAAATTAGTGATAGATGTATTCAATGCAAATATAAATATTAAAGTATAACACAATTAAAAAATATTTTAATTATGAGCATTTTTTTCCTTTCAAATTACATTAAATAAATCTTTGTTAAACTTTATCAAGTGTGCGTCCTTTATTTTTTGTTATTGTTGCAACATGTGAAAACAATTCTTACAGAAAAAAAAAAAAAGATTCTCTATTTTCTTTTATAACTTCCCCTTCTCTATTGCCTCCTTCTGTATGGTCTCTTGACCGCTTGGGAGGGCCCTTAGGGCCGCAGGATGGTCACCATGGACAATGTTCCCTACCTGAGAGCTAATTATTTGGATTAAGAGGGTTTGATGGCACTGCTAATTTAAGGCCTCGTGGAGGGAGACCGAGGGAGACCCCTGGTTAAGAGGACTCTCTTTGCTGTACAGGATACTTAATACTCAGGGAATGCGGCCACGGCCCTAACTTTCCATATGCCAGACTCTATGGAGAGAAGGGAGAAGGTGAGCAGACAACGTTGGGCATTAAAATTGATAGGTTTATACAATGTAATTAAACTGGTAAGTTATTGATTGAAGTGGCCATTTTTTTTAATTCATGTTATTTTAATAGCAAGAATAGTACTTTATACATGTGCGTGATTTGTGAAAGCATTCGTAGCACAAAAGACTCTGAATAAAAGTTTACTGTGTGTGAAAAGTGAGATGGGTAAATTATGGCCTAATGATCTTGGAGCTTTGCGTTTTATTAGAACTACATTGTTTGTGAGTGTGCATATTACACATGGTAATATTTACATACATAATTTATATGGAAACATCAAATCCCTTGTGCTGACTATCAAAAATGTAGCAGAGTTGATGGTCAATCTCCCATCCCTCCCCATCAGGCTCCAGATAATACTATCATTAATCTCTCCAGCCAATCATTTGTCACTGTGATAACTGCAGTTGCTAAGTTGGAAATTCAGTCATTACGGCAATGAGGACGGTTTATTGTAAATTTCTTAAATGTTGGTTTATTCTGTGCATACATGCCTCAGTTCACTGAGGGTTATTTATTAAAACTGGAGAGTGCAAAATTTGGTGCAGCTCTGCATGGAACCAACCAGCTTTCAGGTTTTATTAGTAAAGCTTAATTGAACAAGCTGAATTCAGAATCTGATTGGCGGAATCTGCACAGCTGCACTAGATTCTCAGTGCACCAGTTCTAGTAAATTTTACCCACAGTGTAAGGCAGAAATAGGAATTGGTCAGATTCCACTGTTAAAATATTTTTTGTAAACATAATTCTAAATGTTTTCTTTGACACTCATTAAAAAAAAGGTTCTTGTTAAATTGATTTAAACTTACAATAATCAAAAAAGATTGTTTATTGTTTTAACATTATGCTAACACACCAAACTGATTCTGCATTGCTGTTGTTAAATATATTATGTTTTGACACCATTTTCTATTAATAGTTAATTACTTTACACAATTATTACTATAATAGCTTTTTAATTACATTGGACTACACAGGCCAACCTGCACTTCCCTACATGCGTCAGTAATCCTTTACCGCCCATGACCTTGAACCCGGTTTTGATTCATGTTACTAATTTGGTAGGTCCATATTCCATGGAAAAGCGCCATAATACCTGCCATTGAAGAGATGTTATGAATAATTTTTTCAAACAGTTTTAAACATAAATGTTTAGATGATGATTGCTTGAAAAAATTAAATGATCTATATTCCTGCTGATAATGTGTTTACATTCCGAGCTAGAAAATGATTCCTTTTTACCATGAGTGCACTTTTTCTATTACAACTATGATACGTTGCTGAATACAAGTACATCTTCTCTTTGGTTACATGTCATCTCTGACTTCTTTCATTAAATGTATAAGCTTTTAAGTGAATTGAATAAGCTGTGTAGTATTAATATACTAACTCCCCTCTATATAGCCCTAATTCTTCTTCGCTGTGTAGTGTAGACTCTCGATATTACCTATTTGGTGCCCACAACTCTTCACAGATTTCTGATCCTAAGCAGGTGTCTTTAGTTGCCAGAACTGCATCACCAAATGGTACCGTGTCCTGCAGAGTAATCAGACACAACTGAATATAAGAAAAAAACAATATATACACCAGAAAGGCACATGCTACCAAATATTATACTCTATCCAAAAGTTGCTCTTTAGTGATTATTTAATAAGCCCAGAAGGCAGTAGACTCTGGTCAGTGGGTAGAGTATAATGTAGACTTGTCGGGCTACATTGTGTTCTCTCACATAGTAAAAATGTTTTATTTTAATGCTTTGGTAAAAACCATTTTGCACTGGTGTTTGTGTCCTGTTCAGGAGATTTTCCTAAACTTTCTGTCCCAGAGACATAACTGAAAATAAGAACTCAAAAACCCCTTCTTAGAAAGTTGTCACTGGGACAGGTGCCTCCACTGGAAGATTTCTTCCCAATTCCTGTTCTGGTGACAACACTAGAATGTTGGATTTCCATTCACTTTCTGTTCCATTTCAGTGGTGATCAGGACAAACAGAGAAGGGCGAATCTTCTCAGGAGGGGTACAGATAGCATTAAACACTTGACAGGGATTTAGCTATGTGTGGTGGCAAACAGGTGGGCTTTGACGCACATATGAGTCCATGAATGGCAGAGGTCCCTCTGCCAAGAGTGCACTCCCAGCACCATGACCAAGCTGTCATAGACAACTCCTGGTCTCTAGTAATGATTGTGAGCTGGCGGAACAGACTCCCAATCACGTGACCACTGTGATTGTCAATCACAGTGGTCGAATGATCAGGCAGTCCTCACCCCCTGGATATAAAGATGCTGTTAAAAGGGATGATCAGCAAGGGGTTAACATACACTTTTCCTGTAGACATTTAAACTGAATTTCCAGATTTTAACATGAGCCCAACTGTCGCCAAGGCCCTGTTCACAAAGCGATTATCTACATGCCCTGTGCAGGGCTGTCTTTTCCTGGCATAGTGATGCACAGGTGTTACATGCATCCACGTGCCGATGTCCCCTTGTTATTTATTATGACATGTGGCTGCACAGACAAAGCCACTGTGTCCCAATATGACATGCTGATCCCCAAACTCACCTTGTGCGCATTTGGGGACCCGTATTCATCCATATGTCATATTGGGACACAGCAGCTGTGTCCAAGCAGCTGTGTGCCCCAATAGAAAACAATGGGGCACAGGCATGGGATGCAAGCAACACCTGTCAATCCATGTGCTAGGAAAAGACAGCTCTGCACAGGATATGAAGATAATCGACCTATGTGATTAGGGACCTAAAAAGGAACCTGTCAATGATAGAAACACTGGAGCTGTCTTTGCTGTTTTCTTGCAATCTCTGAGGCTGTCATGCTTATCCTGGCTTTACTATCTCAGGGTTACTGGCCCAACATGTAGCTGGCAAAACCAAAACCTCCAACCTGTATTCTGATTCCAGGTCAGTGACTAGATGGTAGTGCAGCAAGGATACGCATGACATGTTTGGCAGTTGCATCTTTACAAACTGATGGGGGTTCCTATATTCAGATCTAACATTTTATATAAGAACACAATAACAACAGAAGACACATTCGCACCTGCCCGGTGATGTCCTGAATAGTTCTTGGAAGGAAGTGAACTTCAACTTCTCTAAACAATGTAGAAAAACATAGGTTACAATGTAAAATTCCTGAGAAAGGAAACCAGACAGCTGACAACTAACCAGCACATAAGGCAGTTTCACACTGTTGCACTGTGGTTTCGCAGCAGCACAGGTGCACCCGCTTTTTCACATAGTTAACCCCTGGATTCCCATAGACCTTCTATTCAATTGTGCATTTTTGGTGTGTTTTCTGAAATTGCACCAAAGATGCAGCATGCTTAAGACTTACAGTGTACCTTCAGAAAACACACCAAAAGTGCGCTGATAGAACATCTATGGCAAACCGCAGGCTAAACGAACAAAAAATTGCAAGTAAACCTGTGCTGTTGCCAAACAAAAAAAGTGTAAAACGACCCAACAGAGGTCAACATAACAAAGGGGAACACCAAGCAAACAGGCCAGTCCAATTTTCAGCTTTAAGCAAGGTCACACTTTGAAAGAAAATTCCGCAGTCATGCAGCTCTGTATATGAAATTTTTATCAATTTATTTTTTTTTACACAGATAGAGCTTTTTTTTGGTTGTATTTGATCACCACTGGGTTTTTTATTTTATAAATAAGTCATATTTCTCCACTGATCTGGTGGTGATGAAGCAGCACTGATGGTCACTGATATACTGCACTGATGGCACTGTAGGCGGCAGTGATATGCTGCATTGATGGGCACTGATATGCTGCACTTTTGGTCACTGATAGGCTGCATGATAAGGCAACATTGATGGACACTACTGAGGCTGCACTGATAGGCGAACTGATGGGCACTGATAGGTGGCCGCACTGGCTGTCCAGGGGTAGTGGGGTCCCGGGCTGCCCAGACCCAATTTGGAGCCGCAGTCAGAGCCTGTCCGGGGGAGGAACCGGAGCACCTGGAGGGTCCCCTGTGAGGGGGTATCCAGCTAGGGGCCATTACTGAACATGTTCAGTGCCACCGGTTCCTGCTCCAAGGTGAGGCAGAGAGTCTCCCTGGACAGTTCGGCCTGGACCCGCACCCAGTGATCCTGTAGGAGGAGCGGGAGGCTCAAGAGCCACACAGGGCATACTTTCTGACAGGGTCCCTACTTCTCCCCAGACCCACCCCTCCTACTACCCTACAGCCCCGCATCTCCCCTAACTTGCCCTTCACTGTCCCGCCCCTCTCTTCCTTTAACCCATCCTCACAGGGTTGCCCCTCCCCACCTCATAAAAAGCACGTGGCACCTGCCAGCCACCGGAAATAACAGGACTGGCATCTGTTCTGGGACACCTGTTCCATGACTCCCTTCAAAGGTGCCCCCCCAAGCTACACCACTGGGGCTGACAAAAGCCCAGGTACCAGGCCACAGTTTTGAGTCACCATGGTTACCCGGCGCCTGGGATTTGGCGAGCCCTGCTATAATGCACTTTTCATTTTTGCTGCCACATGTTGATGTAAGGCACTGAATAAATAAAGAATTAAAGAAAAATACAAAAATGTGATTGGTTTTACCTGCAATTCAGTTCAGCCAGTATCATTATCCAAACACTCCCGCCAGAGAGTACAGCCAGCTCCTGAACATCTCTGTAGACTATACTGCAGTTAAACAATGCAGTCTGGTCCAGGACCCCCCCCCCCCCCCGACCTGTGATTGGGCAAGGACAGAGCTACAGCACACTGTAGAGATCATCACTGTGTGCTCTACCCACAGGTGGACCTGCGATTTGTGCAACTGTGCAAAGTGCGTAGCTGCACAATGGCCCTTTTGGTCTTAAAGTGGTAGTAAAGTCTTACCTGTAGGTACAGTAAATACTGCATCTCCTAAATGTGCAACGTTTAGGAGTTATTTACTTTTAGTAGCAGCCGGTGACGTCACTGGTGCATACGCACTGCACCTTGAATGGATGGTGCCTTCCATTCAGCACTCTGTGCCATCTCTGTGAGACCCATGTGCATGCGCGGGAGTGAGGTTCTCGTGGCTTGGCCATTCAAATTGGCTTCCAAACCCAGAAGGAAAACCAGGTGAAGAAGGAAAACCAGGTAAAGAAGGAAAACCAGGTAAAGATGGAAGCCCCAGCAGTGGTGACAGGGCACTGGAGAGATCTGTTTTAAGGCAAGTCTGTCACAATGTGCTAGTATGCAGTGCATACTAGTACATTATGATATCCTGCAGGGGCCCAAGTTTTTTCTTTTTTTTTTTTTTTTTTTGTAAGGTTTACTACCACTTTAACCACATCCGGACCGGTCTATAACAGATATACTGCTACAGGGCAGTAGGGGTGCGCAAAATCACGTGTATGTGTGTATATATATATATATATATATATATATATATATATATATATATATATATATATATATATATATATATATATATGTGATTTTGTATTTCCAGGTAGGTGGCACAAGCGTGCCCTACCCGCGCCGCCATTCGCGGCTGCAGCTGTCAATCACCGAGTCCCAGCTAGTGATTCCCCGCCGACGCCCGGGTGATTACCGAGCATCTCCAACAGGGAGGAAGACTGCACTGTTAACCAACAGTCCTCCTCTCTGTGGGCTCGGGCACACCCATCCAGAGCAGTGTGCTTACAGTGAAGCACCAACACACCACTGCCCAGTAACACACTCCCAGCAAACCGTTAACCCTTTGATTGCCCCTCATGTTAACCCTTCCTGCCCAGTGTCAGTGCTTTTTTTTTTTTTTAGCACTGATCACTGTATTGTTGTCACTGGGGATGTCAATGACACCAAGTCAGTTCCCCCCAGTGTCAGAGTGCCTGCCACAGTCTCACTATAAGTCGCTGATCGCCGCCATTACTAGTAAAAAAAAAATACAAAAAATTCCAGTATCTATACAGCCATTTGTAAATGCTATAACTTTCCGGTAAACCAATTAATTTACACATATTGGGATTTTTTTTTAGCACAGACATGTAGCAGACTACATTTTGGCATAAATTTATGACTAAATTTGACTTTTGAAATTTTTTTACTAGACATGTTTAATAGCAAAAAGTCAAAAATATTATTTTTTTGTTTCTCAAAATTGTTGATTTTTTTTTCTAGCGCAATAAATAAAAAATGCACATGCAATCAAATACTACCAAAAGAAAGCTCAATTTGTGGGAAAAAAAAGGATGTAAATTTCATTTGGGTGCAGTGTTTCATGACTGAACAATTATCAGTTAAAGTAATGCAGTGCCATAACGCAAAAAATGGTCTGGTCAGGCAGGGGGGTAAATCCTCAGTAGGGCAAGTGGTTAAAGTGATATGAAAGATGTTTTTTTTTTGTTTTTAAATAATAAACATGTTTCACTTACCTGCGCTGTGGAGTGCTGCTTTTGCATACAGCAGCCCCAATCCTCCTCTTCTCGGGCCCGCTGCCGGCGCTCCAGGCCACTCTCTCCTGCCTAGTGGACCCATAGCAACCAATTTGTGGCACCTGAGCAGGCTCACTCCTGAGCTGCTGCTCTGAGTGTCCATTCATACATGGTGTGTGGCTTGGCACCACTCTCTCCTCATTGGCTCACTGACAGTATCCAGTGCAAATAGGTCCCTCTGCTGTCTCGGCCAATGAGGAGGGACAGACCGGGAGAGCCGAGGTTCTCGTGCACACTGCTGGATTGCGATGGGGCTCAAATAAGTTTAAGGGGAGGTTGAGGGCGCTGCTGCACACTGAAGGTTTTTACCTTGATGCACAGAATGCATGAAGATAAAACAAAACCTTGAACCTTTACAACACTTTAAGTGCCAATTTATACTAGATGTGTAGTACAAATAGGTGTTTGTACTCCAGTAGTATTTGAATATGGGTCAAAATTGTTTTTGGACAAAAGAACCGTGGTGATTATGTCTGCCATCAGCATTGTAAGCTCCTGTAAGCATGTTCATAGACAGCACTATGGAATATTATGAAGTCCTGACGGAGAGTTCTGGAAGCGGATTCTATTCTGTATAAATGTCATGATTTTCTAAGCAATAGGTTGTAGACTAAAAGCCTCGAGTTAAGTAATTTCTCCTGCATAGTCAAATCCATTTTTTAAAGTGTATGTAAGGGAAAAATTAAAAGAAATTTTTTTTACAGGCAATCTCCACAATGCATGCACATTCTTTTTATTTTCACCCTTTAGAGACCCTGCAATCTGAAAAAATACCTGTTGATTTTCCAGAGATGAGCCCTCCTCCAAACTCCTGTTTAGGGGTGACAACACACAGCAATTTTGTGTATTGAATGGTATCAGCACTGCCCAGTTGTCTTTTGCTAACTACTACTACCACTCCCACCCGATGATATCTACATCTTAAAAGATAATCATTCTGTAGTCCTAGTCTGTAGTAGTTATGTGATAGCACAGGAAGTGTGCAGGACACAGGGCAGATCTAATTTTCTGACAAGATCAACAGATATTCTATTTTCCACTTATGGAATCGATATAACAAAATACTTGAACCTCTTGATGCCCAAATAACGCATATGTGTGGGAACAAAGTGGGCTGACTTCAATGCCCACATACCACACAAATGCATCCATGGGCAGCAGAGCTTTATGTACTGAGAGCAGGCTCCCAACACAGTGACCAAGCTGTCATAGACAGCTCTTGGTCAGTACTAATGACCGGACATTGGCAGGACAGCTCCCAATCATGTGACCACCGTAGTCACATGATTGTCTGATCCTCCCCTCCTCCCCCTGGGCATACAGACCCTATTAAAGAGAAGCCGGGGCTGGGTGAAAAGGGGTTAAACAGACCATACACAAGCAAATAAGAGAATTTTGGTGTTAGGGTTTACATACACTTTTAGGCCCTGTATAAATTTGCACATTCCTGCATGCGTTTTTCTTGCGTGATTTATACGGGTTTCCGCTAGTCATGCATAGGGAAGCCCAATCACTTGAATGGGCTACCTTATGCACGTTTGTTGCACCAAAGAAGTTCCAGTACTAAATTTTGGCGCTAGGCCAGGAGAGAGTTTTTGCTGATTTTCACATGTTTTGTCATGCGGCAAAAATCGCACTGCGTTTGAGATGCCATTAAGAATCAATGGCACTCCAACTTGCATTTTGCCACAATTTTAGCATGATTTGGAAACACCGGCAGAATTGTGCCAATGTGAACAGGGCCTAAAGGATATAACATGCAGCAATAGCTTTACAAAATTAAAATTCTACCTCAGTTTATTCCATGGTGTAAACCAGCGCAGCTCCCGGTAATTTCCAGCATTCGCCATTACCGTTTTTGGTCGGATGAGCAAAATTTTCCTTTAGAATAACAAAAGCAAGTCAATAATTATTTTTTTCAGATTTTAATATACAGCACATTCAGAAATGCATGTTTACAGAGGACTATAAACAGCTAGATAAGACAAAGTGAAAACAGCCAGAAATGCTTCTATACTCTGACATTACAGAAATATTCCTAATAATTGGAATTGTTTTCACAGATCCTATACAGCACTGGGCCCTGGGTTCTATTACAGCCAGGGATTTATTGCATGGAGTGTAAATTTCCTCCCTGGGTGTAAATCAACCACCTCTGTTAATGTTCAACTACAGGAAATTTGAAAAAGATCCCTTGCAGTGGGGGTTTTGCTGGCACTGCATCTGTTAACTGATCATTTAGTCTGGGGGAGTGGAGAAGCGCTTTAAGTTTCCTGATCCTCCACTCCCCATCATCAGACTGTGCCCTCCATGCCCTTGCAGTGGACTGTTGCTTGGTTTTATCACATCCAATGCAGGGCTATGGACCATGCATTGGTCTTGATGATGTTAGGACCTTAGACTTCCAAAGTATGGGGGAATGAAGGTGCTTCAAGGACCGGCATAGCAGTGTGGAGGATGGAGTAAGTAGGTCTTCTATGTACCCTAGACCTATGCAAGCAATTACCATTTGCAGTGCATGCACAGCCCCACTGCAAGGGATACTTTTTAGATTTCCCAGAGTTGGACTTTAAATTGCAAAGAAGGAAAGGCAGACAGGAAACATTTTCTGCTGTTATGTGAAAAAAGGCAACATCAGCATCCCCTTTAGATGTACATGCTCCTCGCTCATCCCTGCTGGCCAGTTGAGACAGGACTGATACACATCTAAAGGAATGCCATAATGTTTTCTTTAATGTAAAACTGTATGCAGGGAGCCTTGTGTCTGCAGACGACTACAAAATCTGAACTGGTATAATCCTTGATGATCTAGCTCAAGGGTCTCCACACTATGGACCTCCAGGTGTTCAGGAACTACAAGTCCCATGAGGACCCTGTAAAACTGACAGCCACAGGTAAGACTCCCGAAGGCATGATGGGACTTTTAGTACTTCAACAGCTGAAGAGCCATAGTTTGGAGACCCCTGATCTAGCTGGTAGTAGTCGCTTTCAATTGGACTTGTTCTGTAATGTTGAAGATGTTCTGCAGCTACTCCAAGCCACTTCTTCAGTTCTAATGAGTATAAGGAAGATACTTACAGAGATAGCATTAATGTTCTCAATGAATGCAAAGCATTCTCTGATTGGACTCAGGGGAGAGGCGGGCGGTGATGTCTCGCTCTCCATCTCATCCTATCAGAGAATGCTTTGCATTCATTGAGAAAATGCAAAGCAGTCTCTGAATGGTGCCTGTGATGAGCAAGTAATTTCTTATTTAAGTCATTTCCATCATCGGTCAGGCATTTATAGGTATAGTTACATTGGCTCAAACTGGACCAATACAACTATGTGTAAAGTATATATACCCAAAATTCTTCTTTAAGTGATTTTTTTTTTAGCCCAAACTGCAGATTTTAATATGTGTGCAAAATTAAACAGTCAAATAACTCAGAAGTCAATGAAAGTCAATGACAGAGAGATGGACACATCTATGTCCGTGGTATAATATTCTCCCATTGGAAAATACCGCCTTTTTATTAAAATGTTTTCCATGTAAATTGTTGTTGATATAGAAATTATCTACAAGGTGTCTATAGGACAGATCAGACATGAATTGCATGATAATAAAAGCAATAAATATAAAGGTAAAATCTGATTACTTGTTAAGGAAGATCACCCGACAGTTGTATCGAACATTTTTGTGCATCACAGGCCTGCAAAGAATGAGCTGTTAGATCACAGCATAGACAGCAATGCAGGTTGTATCGGCTTGTTAATACAGAAACTGATGATGTATTGGTGACAACTAGGATTGCATACTCACATCCCCACATCGCAGATGATATCGGTGGTCACTGGAGACTCCAGCAGCTTCACCAGGACTTGGAAAGAATGAAGGATTGTATCTGACTCGAAGAAGTGATCCGAACAGCCATAGCCACTGTGTGAAGAGGGATAAAAAAATGAATATACACTGCTTGCTGTAATTGGTTAGAATGTAGATAAAAAAAACACACAGCGCCCAGGACCAATCTACTAACAAACAATTATAAGTGAAATGCTGCTGTGCATAGGTATATAAACCAAAACAAATTTTCCAATATAAACCAGCGCAAAACACAAATATTAAAATAATAAGTGAATATAAAATTATTATTTTATAAATAATCTTTAAAGTCCAGTGATAAAGGTAAGTGACCACAAACCCGTGACATAAAAAATTATTCCATATATCAAAACTTTCTCAAAAATAAACTTCAGTGCTTCAAATAATTCTTCCACCATCCACCAGTGCCGAAACCAACATAAACCGCACTCACCAGATAATGGTGAGTAAAACACCTTTCAGGATTATTAAGGGCTCCTGGACCCCCTTTGAGGACTCCTCTATTTTCCACCTCAGATCTATGGGTGTTTTCTCCACTCCTCTCCTCTCCACATCACCAAGTTCCAAAAAGGGGAAAAAAGACTAATAGTGTAGTACTGTTATACCCCTTTTATAATTAATTCAAGCCAAACCACTCACATTTCATAGGATAAAAACCAGCATTTAAGGACATCAATCGAATTTTCGAACAGCAAAACAAATTTCCACAGCTCCTAGGAACTCACAGCCTTGTATGCAGCAGGATGACAGCCTCCATAAAAAACAAACTTCCTCCACTAGTCAAAATGGCCGCTTGGAACGCATCCTTCGGCGTGCGTTCCACTCACCGGAAATGACGTCGGACGTTCGGGAGACCGACCGGAAGTACGTCACCGCGTTTTGCCCCACCCACAGGGCCCCACCCACAGGTCTTGAGAACGCCCTGTGGGTGGGGCGAAACGCGTTGACGTACTTTCGGTTGGTCTCCCGAACGTCCGACGTCATTTCCGGTGAGTGGAACGCACGCCGAAGGATGCGTTCCAAGCGGCCATATTGACTAGTGGAGGAAGTTTGTTTTTTATGGAGGCTGTCATCCTGCTGCATACAAGGCTGTGAGTTCCTAGGAGCTGTGGAAATTAGTTTTGCTGTTCGAAAATTCGATTGATGTCCTTAAATAAATGCTGGTTTTTATCCTATGAAATGTGAGTGGTTTGGCTTGAATTAATTATAAAAGGGGTATAACAGTACTACACTATTAGTCTTTTTTCCCCTTTTTGGAACTTGGTGATGTGGAGAGGAGACGAGTGGAGAAAACACCCATAGATCTGAGGTGGAAAATAGAGGAGTCCTCAAAGGGGGTCCAGGAGCCCTTAATAATCCTGAAAGGTGTTTTACTCACCATTATCTAGTGAGTGCGGTTTATGTTGGTTTCGGCACTGGTGGATGGTGGAAGAATTATTTGAAGCACTGAAGTTTATTTTTGAGAAAGTTTTGATTTATGGAATAATTTTTTATGTCACGGGTTTGTGGTCACTTACCTTTATCACTGGACTTTAAAGATTATTTATAAAATAATAATTTTATATTCATTTATTATTTTAATATTTGTGTTTTGCGCTGGTTTATATTGGAAAATTGGTTAGAATTGGCTAGCATTGAAGCTGAACCTCCAGGCACAGAATATTACATTTAAAATTATCCCTCAATAGCCACAAAAGATAGAAATCTATTTTGTGTGTAACAAATGCCTTTGCAAACCCAAATATAAACCTATTAAAAGTAGCAGTGACATAACTGTGCTGTACATAGCTTGTGCAGAGAGCAGAGCTGTGGGAGGGACCAAGCAGGCCCCAATTACTACCAGCAAAACTACAGGAGAGGGCGGAGACAAGACCAATCACCCTGCACAATAAGAGAGCGCAGCAGCGACCGGTCTATATTACAGAAAATGTTCACACTGGACTACTGCATAGATCTGGAAGAAATACATAAGCACACTAAGATTCTAGTAAGAATACACATGACGAGGTCTTCATGTGTATTCAGCTTCTTTCTAAGGAAGGCACTGCTGTAATCACTATGACTAATTATTGTCCTTATCTGCCAGATCAGGCTCTGATCATCTTAATGTCTATGGGTATTTAAAATGGAATATCGTGGGTTTTTTATGTATTCTTTCTTCATTATGTTCAGTACTAAATATAAATAAAAAAATACCATTATATCTTTTAAATCGAGCAAGCTAAATAATAAACTTTCATACAATTTACATTAGGTAGAAATAGTACAAATGACCACCTGACCAAATACTATAAAAAAAATAAAAAATAAATTGTACAATAGTCCCTACTTTGTTCACTCTTTCTGGGGACCCAGTAGGATAGCATCCTTTATCTCCTCATTGTGTTTCTTCTGCTCTATCCCTGTCTTTACACTGGGGATCCATTTATAAAAAAAAAATAGCTTCATAAATGTAAAACATTCACACAGTCACCAAAACAACAAAAAAAATATATGATTATTAATGATGGTTGTAAATGCCATCTAGTGGCCATAATTGCATTATTTTTCTAAAATACCTTAATTAGGAAAATATTGCACTATGGCCACTTGGTGGTGGTGAAGATCACATGAAAGAATCATATTAATCAGACAAAATATGTTTATTTTTTTTTTTCATGGTGGCTGTCACATTCAAACAAGTCTGAATAGCCCAGCCCCTCCCTCCATACCGACAGAGGCGGTACAGTCCGGCCCCTGCCTGCGTACTGGCAGAGGCGGTACAGTACCCTCCCTCCATACCGGCAGAGGCGGTACAATCCGACCCCTCCCTCCATACCGGCAGAGGCGGTACATCCGACCCCTTCCCATACCGTAGGCAGAGCGGTACAGTCCGACCCCTCCCTCCGTACCGGTCTGGCAGAGACGGGTACAGTCCGACCCCTCCCTCCGTACCGCAAACCTAAAAAGTCGGTCCGGCAGAGACGGTATAGTCCGACCCCTCCCTCCGTACCGGCAGAGGCGTTACAGTCCGACCCCTCACTCCGTACCCGCAAATGTGGTATAGTCCGATCCCTCACTCCGTACCAGCAAAGGTGGTATAGTCCGGACCCCTTCACTCCGTACCAGCAGAGGCGGTACAGTCCGACCCCTCCCTGTGTACCGGCAGAGGCGGTACAGTCCGGCCCCTGCCGGGTACCGGCCTGTCCGACCCCTCCCTCCGTACCGGCAGAGGCGGTACAGTCCGACCCCTCCCTCCGTACCGGCAGAGGCGGTACAGTCCGACCCCTCCCCCGTACCGGCAGAGATGGTACAGTCGACCCCTCCCTCCCCAGAGACGGTATAGTCCGACCCCTCCCTCCGTACCGGCCGTTACAGTCCGGGCACTCCGTACCCGCAAATGTGGTATAGTCCGATCCCTCACTCCGTACCAGCAAAGGTGGTATAGTCGATCCTTCACTCCGTACCAGCAGAGGCGGTACAGTCCGGCCCCTCCCTGTGTACCGGCAGAGGCGGTACAGTCCGGCCCCTGCCTGCGTACCGGCAGAGGCGGTACAGTCCGACCCCTCCCTCCATACCGGCAGAGGCGGTAGTCCGACCCTTCCCTCCGTACCGGCAGAGGCGGTGCAGTCTGACCCCTCCCTCCATACCGGTCCGGCAGAGATGGTACAGTCCGACCCCTCCCTCCGTACCGGTCCGGGCAGAGACGGGTATAGTCCGACCCCTCCCTCCGTACCGGCAGAGGCGTTACAGTCCGACCCCTCACTCCGTACCGCAAATGTGGTATAGTCCGATCCCTCACTCCGTACCAGCAAAGGTGGTATAGTCCGATCCTTCACTCCGTACCAGCAGAGGTGGTATAGTCCGACCCCTCACTCTGTTCCAGCAGAGGTGGTATAGTCCGACCCCTCACTCTGTACCAGCAGAGGTGGTATAGTCCGACCCCTCACTCTGTACCAGCAGAGGTGGTATAGTCCGACCCCTCACTCTGTACCAGCAGAGGTGGTATAGTCCGACCCTTCACTTTGTACCAACAATGTGGTATAGTCCGACCCCTGCATCTGTACCAACAGAGGTGGTATAGTACAAACCCTCTTTCTGTATCTGCAGACATGGTATAGTCTAACCCCTCACTCTGTACCAGCAAAAGCGGTATAGTCCGACTTAATAAGTTATGCACAGGCTGCCAACCACCAGGAAATCAGCACTGGACTTTCTTATTAGTATTACATGTTCGTGTTTTGTAGATTAAAAAAATATAAAAGGAGGGAGCAAATGAGGGTGGCTGGAGCGGATGTCCTGCTGACCGCTCCGCACAATCCTGGCACTTCAGGGGGGAACACAAGCAGCCACCACCCACCTTCCCCCCCCCCCCCCGGAACTCACCTGTACCAATTGCTGGGACGGTGGGGGCTCTTCCTATGCCCTCCTGGCCATCAAAAGTCTGCGGGTGGATCCCGTGCCGCAGTAAAGGGGGCGGGTAGGGGAGGCAAGATGGCACCGGGTGCCGGCTCCAAGGCCTCCTCGGCTGTTGAGGGGTCACAGGGAACAGTGCCTCCCTCTTCCTACTCCTAGACGTCAGGATGAACATTCCTCCAGAGCCATAGATCATGTGAGTGACCTCCCTGCACCTCCTAGCTCCCTCGCTAGTCCTCCTGGGTCTCCTTCACAGGCCACAAGCCTATTTCCAGGCCGTGATTCCAAAGCTTCCTCCATTCTAGACAGGGAAATGGAGGATATCTTTATTAGTCAAATCAGTAGCAAAGATTCCACACACGATGGCCCAGTGGATTCTCCTGTCTTTCCTCCTGCACTATTCTGGGAATTCCAAACTCATCGCACATTTTGCTTATTTACTACAGTGGGAATTGGATAAAACTACCACTAAGTTAGCCTCTGACCTGAAACTGGATTTTTGGGAATTTGGAGATCACCTTGTGAAGTTTGAATCTGAAGTTGATGATACAGTTCACAGAGTGACCCAAAATTCTAGCATGATTGCCGACTTACAAGATCGCTTGGATGAGGCATACAATAAAATAAATGATCTTGAGAATCGTGCTAGGCGGTGCAAT